GGGCTTTGGGGACAGAAGAAACTCCCTAATGAGGAACATTCTGATCCTGCTATCCTATTGGCTTCAGAAAAAAAGAGCGGGAAAATCCCCCGTGACAGAAGGATTCCTATGCCTGTGTCCCAGGCAGCTTACCTGTCTGTCTGATTCTGAAGGGATTATGTCTGAAGGACAGGGAAAGTGGGTGGTGGGTGGGAATGAAAGAAAAATAAAACTGGGAAGCCCAACTTGGTCAAGGTTTAAGAGCCTGATCAAAGACTCTGCCTATCAGTTCACAGGCAGTCTCTGTCGTGGAGGTTGGTGGGTGATACCCATAGCTGTCAACTTTTCCCTTTTTTTAAGGGAAATTCCCTTATTCCGAATAGGATTCCTCACAAGAAAAGGGAAAAGTTGACAGCTGTGGTGATACTTCCTTCATGAGGAAGCAAGTTTCTTTGGTTTCCAGTAAGAGGTGCCATCCCAAAGGTATTCCATGGCCTCTGGGAGCCTCTAGTGAGCAAGAGAGTTTTCCTGATGCTGCCTTTCCATTCCAGTGGTCGTTCCCTCCTCCCCTTTCTTTCAATCATAACAATAATCACACAAAGAACAGAAAAGAGTTTCAGGCAGCAAAATGAAAATAGATCACTCTCCTATCCCAGCCAAACCAACAGAAATGAGACCTTCGGATAGGATGACATGAAAATTGAACTGAGGGAGGAAATTGATTTGGTCAGATGTGTAGCAAATGATGGCAACCAGAAACATTGTGGCCCAGGGAAGAAAACAATCCTTCCCTTTCCTCTCCTTACATCCCCTGAAAGCAACACATCTGTCAGCTCTGGGGGAAACATGCATTTACAGAGCCTTTTCGACAATAAACCAGCAATGAATGTACAAGTGGCACATGGTGGAGTTCATGGGAAGGCAAAAAGAGAATGTGCTGTATGTGTCTCTTTTAATAGTGATTTACTAGTGAAAAATTCCCAGGTGTGACAGGCTGCATTTCCTTTTGCCCAGCTATTGAACAAAAGACAAAAGGGTTGTACTCAGGGAAACAAGCTGAGTTGGAGCCATAAGCAACTTGTACTGCAGGGAGGGGGGAGACTGGTCCTCCAGGCACGGTTGCAATTCAACTCCCATCAGCCCCTGCTAGTGTGTCCAATGATCAGGGGCTTTGAGAATAGGAAGGCACTGTGCTATTTTTCTTGAAAAAGGTGCCGGAACTCACCATGAACACCTCCCTTGTTCTCTTATATTAGGAATTGCCAGACCCAGTTTTGTTTGTGTCAGTGTGCCTAATTTATTTCCATTTGATATGCTACTACCTAATAGTGAAGGAACTGTTTCTGCCACTAACCTATCTCAAGACTGAGCAAACTATATTTCTGCTCCCTTGAACTGGGCATGCTGTTGCCTAGACTTCCCTTTGGTCTTTCTCTTTAGGCATTGTCAGACTTTTTGGATTTATTTTGACACGAGAGAAGCAGTTGTGGGCAACACCCCCCCCTCAATCTCTTCTGTTGGCTACTGCAAGGTGCTTCTTTCAAGCCTAATTTTGGTGGAGGGAGGGGAGAGGAAAGAACCCACAATTGTATTGACACCCTTCGCTTAGATCTTCCCAGTATTATCAACTCTTCTAACTTGCTAAAAAATTATGACATCCCTCTGCTGTCCCAGACTCATCCCCTTCAAATATGCCCAATGTATTTTTCCTGTGTGCAGAGAAATTGCTACTAGTGCACATATATATCCTCACAGATACTATTCCCGTCTTCCTTCCATATCTCAGTTGTTGCCCTTTCCTCAAGGGATACAGACTTCTGCTTGGAGTAATATTCCTCACCCCCACCCCCTGTGGGGGAGAGCGAATAATTCAGCTTGACCTATGCTTAAAAGCAAGAGAACCAACTGCAGGAGGAACATGACACCAAGTTTGGAGAGCATGACATCTATGATGCAGACACAGAATAAGAGAGAGAATGAGCCCTGGTTTTAAAATTCATCTGGAGATGGATTAAGATTTCTATGGCATCCAGCCAACTGTAGATTTAAATGTAATTTGAAAGTTAAGAAAACTATGAGCTACATAAAACACATCAATCACAGAGTGTCCGTTTATGAGCATGCCTTAAAGAGGAGAAAGAAAGCAGGTTTGCAATAAGTTATGTCTCGCAACTGAGCAGAGACACAATAATCAATAACTGCAGTCCATTCTCAGAGGTAGCATGTGACGCAAGAAAATGCTGGAGTAGTTTAAGAAATCCAGATTTAATTAAAAACAACTCTGTGCATACGGAGTGAACATGAAAGGTCTTGGACTTTCAGCAACCCTTTTACTTTTAGATTACAAATGCATTCTTTGCCTTAGTCTGAGATGATGAATTTAGCGGTGATGGATTATATATTGTTGTTCAATTATATGTTAATAATTATTAGTGTTATGAAGTTTTCCAGGTGTGTTGCAGGATAAAGAAATGATTTCTCTACTTTCAAAAAAAGTACACCTAGTTAAGAATTTCCAAGCAAATAGCAATGCATGTGATATTTCTTTAATACTATTTCTTTTATCTGTTTCTGAGTAAAGATCATGGCATATGAAAGAATCTCAGCACCATCTACTTTCTTCCCACTTGAATATGAACAGGTCTTAACAATATCTAAATCTCTATTATACATTTCTGTTAAATTTTTTATTTTAAAAAATGTTTTCAAAACAGAAATATCCTGCAACTCTCCAGTGAAAACAAGGCCCATTACTTTCCTTAGGATGATCCTTGGATCACTTTCTAGTAATTTCAGTGTCTTTTTTCAGAACTATAATTAACACTGAATTATGCAGTGCTGAGGTCCGATGTTGCAATACAGAATGGGTTGGGGTTGAAGGAAAAGGTGGAAGGGGTTGCTACATTTGAACAAGCTTTGCATCACTGCTGATTGAAATTTATTTTATTTATTAAATTTGTCAGTTGCTTTATCTTGGCCAGGGTAATGCAAAGCAACTTATAACCAAACAAATAGACATTAGATCCCATGTAGTTGTTTTGAAAACATCCCACCCACTTCTAAAAAAGGCCAAAGACTTGATTATACTGCAAAGCTTTTGCCTGGCCCCTAATGACATATAGATACATCCTTGTGTACAAGAGTCCTCTGTGGCTAGGAGTGCATTTTCTCATTTCTATTGGGTTCACTGAGCACTGTAGCCCATCTGTTGGTAACCTCAAGGCATAGCTGTCAAGTGTCCCTTATTTGAAGGGACAGTCCCTTATTCCAGCGCCATGTCCCGCTGCTGTCCCTTATTGATGGATGTCCCTTAAATGATGTCCCTTAAATTTCAAAGGAAGCAGCTCCTCTCCCTCCCTCCCTGCTGGCCAGGGAGGAGGGAGGCTCCAACTGTGTTGCTTGGCTGTGTTGCTCACCCAATAAGAAGTCTAAGAACGACTGGGGGGTGGAGCTTGCATGCCTTGTGTGTGGCTAGTTAATGCAAGCTGAGTGGGCTTTTGAATGCTGGGTGCCATTTTGTTGCACGTGCTGCTGCAAATTTTGCAGTGCAAACCAGGCCGGGGAGCCATCTTAAGTTGAGGCTGCATAGGCCTTGTGGTGCATGTGATTCAGATTCTATTCAGTTGAACCTCTGGTTACAAAGTTGGTTGGACAGTGTTCTCGAAGCTACCAGCATGAGATTGACCAGACTGCAGGAGGACAGGAAGACTGGAGTGCCTGGAACAGGTGAGGCTGCAGGTCCCTTATTTTGGCTGCTGGTCCCTTATTTTCAAGGCTGCTGGTCCCTTATTTTCAAATCTGTAAGTTGACAGCTATGCCTCAAGGTACCTCAGTGTGGTCTACGTGAGGCTGCCATTACAGTTAGAAATAATTGTGAAGAAGTATCTAATTACACCTATAATCTCTCTGGCCACAGCCTAATGCAGAGCACATATTATCTAACAGATTGTGTTGCTCAATTGACAGTGAATCCAACACTCCTCAGGTTGTTTGCGTGACTAGAGGAAGATCTGAAGCTCAACTAAGTGTTAAAATAGTTTAGTTACTGTGTGCAATTCACTCCTTATGGGCCCCTTTCCTCTATAAAAGCAAATTTTTTGGGGGGGGGGAATAGGAAAAATGGCAAGGAGACTTCAAGTTTGTTAAAATTGGCATAAGCCTGTTTTACTTTTAAATTATCCACAGCATAAGAAAAACCCTGCCTATCCTACCCTTTTCGCAGCTGCTGCTTACCTGGCTGACACTTTCACTGAGCTATCCCCTATCACCGCAAGGTTTTGTTCCTGGTTATTCACTGCTAGTTTGGACCACATTAATGTATATGTGAAATTAGGAATGTTTTGCCCTAATACTTGCTTATACTTTTGAGTACATGAATATCAAAAACTATCCTTCTGTGCTTCAGTGAAGTGATGAGAATGGGGTTATGCACAACAGTAACACAATGAGAACCCTTTCAAAATTATGGTGCATAGAAACAGAGGAAGCTGCCTTATACAGAGTCAAGTCATTGGTCTATGTAGTTCAGGATCGTCTATGCTGACTGGCAGCAGCTTTCTATAGTTTTGAGTCAGGGTTCTCTCCCAGGTCTACCTAAAGATGTCAGGGATTGAACCTGGCAATCGTCTACTTTTGCCTGCTCTCCTACTAAGCTATGAATCTTCGCCACCTAAGAAGGAACAAAAACAGAAAGGTGCTTTTTCTTTATCTAAATCTTTATTAGAACCTCAAGAGCTGTAAAACAATAAGGAACAACAAATTGTGTTAAATATTAAACATTTTAGTTCTGAAAAGATATTTTCAACAATATGTCCCTAATATTTCTGCACAGCAGAAGCAAAAAGATTTTAGAGCTCAGGTGGCCGTGTGCTCATGTTAATTTGGTTCCGGCACAAAAAACAAAAAAGGGAGAAAAACAGACAGTCTCTAAAATCACATTTAAAGTAGAAATGTGATCACAGGGGAAACTGACAACAAGGTCTTTAATTTGCCACCATGCAATTTATGAATACATATTTCTGATGCTGATAGGCCCTTTTTTTTTTACAAACAAACAGACTGCATGAATGATCAATATTAGTACCATTAGCCATACATTTCAAAAACTGAAGAAGCCGTTATGTTCTTAAGTTTTAATACTGTGAAGTGCAAATTACCAACATTTTACAAGGGAAGCAATAATTCAGTATCAAAAGTTATAAAATTAAGAGTCGTTTTATAAAATAACATCTTAGCAAGAGTCTAAAAACAAAGCATCCATTTCACACTAGTCAACAAAGCAATAAACACTTTACACAAGTGTAGTATGCATCTTTTCATTCCCATTTCTTCTAATTTAAATAGTAGGGGTGTAGTTCTTTAAAGAATTGACACAGGTGTGTGGTACAGCCCTGACTAGCTAACCACCTTCTATGAAGGTGTGAGTCCCTGTAAGAGAAGCTCTAAAAATTAAACCCTGGTCCCATTTCTCTTACTTTGATAAAGCCAATTTTATATCTGGTCCAGTATTTAAACTCTCCGACTGTAGACACACTTACTTGAAATCAATGGAACTTACAGACAAGCAAATGCATTTAAGGTTGGGGTGTTGTGAAGCTGCAGTCCTGAAAGCTTCCTCCCCTCCTTTACTGTTGAACAAATAGTATAGGGAGTTACGGAAGTGACTAATTTGGACAAAGAATTTCAATATTTACACCCTAAGTTGTCTACTCTCTCCCCTTGGGGCTAAGATACACAAGCACTTTTTGCACCATAGCTATGGTTGGCATGCCACTGTTATCTCCTGTTAGGAGGGCTTATATGCTACAGTTGTTATTAACTGTAGCTATTATTGTGAGGGGGGGAAAGGCATTTCCATGCCCAAAGGGACATACATACCACATCTGTTTAAGAAGCAGCTCTGTCAGGATTTATGCCATATGCCATTGACAGCATAATGTTAATTGTGGAAACTGCAGAGTGGTTACTAGAATCAGAAAAGAAATATTCTGCAAACACAAGGCCAGCAAGAAGAAGAAGAAAATTAATTCCCCATTAACTCCAGGAATATGTAAACCTACATCAGGTACTTAGGGTTGCTCCATATCAGTTTGGCAGCTTTTCAGGTAATCTCTGGAGTTGTGTTTTTAACAGCAGCTCAATATGCAGGAATTAACAGCTGAAGCATTTAACAGTATGGAGAGAGAGAAATTATCATCTGATCATTCCAACAAGCCACAGCCAGGCTACTGTTAAAAAGGCACAGGTACAAAGGACAGTTAGCAACCCTATTCTCAAACATCTTTAAACTGAGAGAGTGGGAAGTTCTGGAGGAGGGGGTCCCACATTGTTCAAAATTTTGCATATGTTTCCTACATGGGGACCACATCACCTGTCGAAGCTGAAGGTTAGCACAGGCTGAGTATGAGGAATGGATGCATGGAACCAGTACACCAGGGTCCCATGCACCAAACATATACACGGATAGTTCCTCTAAAAAGAGAGTTCTGTAAGCTAGGCCCTGCTTAAAGGTTTCTTGCAGCATACATTCGACACAGATAAAGCTAAGCATTAGAAACCCAAATGTCCCTAAGCAATTCTCTAAAAAATACCACTCTCTACTGTTTTAATTTTTTTTGGAGATGATAGTAGGAAAATGTAGATACTGCAAATATTTCACACAGGGGCAAAGGAACAGATTCGTATCAATACATTTCAAGTAAGCTGAAAGACAGTTTTGTTTATTTCATCAAGCAGTTAGTAGCTCTGTGTTTCAAATGGCGCTTGTAAACTTCAAAACATAAGCTAGTTAATATTATTAGCCAGTAAGGCACTTTGTCATAGAGTACACAGCTGTACAGGCTAGGAGACTGGCGAGGCTCTAAATGCAATCAAGAGACATCGACGTATTCCATGACCACCTAAATGCAAAAGGACCTTTTCACTTTTTAAGAAATCTCTTCACTCGCTCAGAGCAAAATCCGCAACAGTAAAACATATTTTCACATATTTTCTTTTTAAAAAAAACAAAACAGAAAAAGCAGCCAGACATTTTAACAATCTTTCATTTCAAATACCCAAGCCACAAGAATTAAAGGCAAAATGGGGGGGGGGGGGAGAGAGAATAAAAATAATTTTAAAAATCTCAGTATAAAAAAATGCTCCCATGGTTTTTGTTGTTGGATTTAAAAACAAACAAACAAACCACACACACACACACAATGCCGTTACAAACTTTTGATGGCTTCACATCTACAATAGCTTTGGTATAAAACATGCGCAAATGATAGCTGACAATCAATACCGTATCGAAAGAAACAATGCATCAAACGAAACATGATTGCGTGGTTTAGGACACTGGGCATTTCCTATTGTCTCTTGGTTTGCATGTTCTGCTTGTTCAGAATCTTCAGCAGAGATTTACTCATGTAATAAGGTCTTTCAGCAGAGCCATCATGACTTTCTAAATCTTCCACTAGGAGGAAGAATGTCAAAGAGCAAACAATCAAACCAATGTAATACAAAAGCAATTCTGCCACCTGCTGACCTTTTTCGTGCACAACAGCAAAATCCTCAGTGTATTTTCTATACTGGATGGTTTGGCGTTTACTATACTGTAAACGCTGGTGCAATAACGTAATCAGCCCTTTTTCATTGCGTCGGCCAGATGCTGCACCAGTTCAGTCAATGAGACATTTGCCTTCCTTTGACATGAATGGGTGCAGGATCAAAGCCTTTTAAAAAATTTAATCATCTCACCTCGAAATGATTTGCCCAATACTCAAAAGCGAGGAAGTGCATTTTAATCAAGCTTTAGCTTTTATGTTAAAGCACGTTATGCATAAAACTGACATTATAATAAACAGCAGGATTTGGCCCAAGGATTAAGAAACACATCAATCAAGTTCAAAAGTATTTATCTTTCAAAAAATAAATTATTCCCTAGTTTGCACATTCATTTCCGAGAAAGATATTCAGGAATTTTGTATACCAAGTTTTCTCTTTGCAACAATTTAGCAGATACTTCAGATGAATGCATGAATGCCAAATTTCAGTGCTATTGCTTTGCATTTTCACAGTTTTCTTAGTTGCTTAATTGATAAAATGGCTCTAGGATGTTCCCCTCAAAAACATGTGACACTTCGGACACGTATCATAAATATTTGTGGAGGTGCAGCTTACAAAGCTTCCAGATTAAAGCTGTAACTCGGGTTGCATCTTAAGATCTTGGACACAACTTTAGGCATACTGAACTGAAATATATCCTGGTATGTCAAACTTGAAAATCAGACTAGTGTCTTGCCTAATTGATTGAGATCAATTGGAATTAGTCTATTAATTTCAAAAGCAGTAAGACCAGAGTAAGTACACTATTGGCCTGATTTAGCACAATGGATGTTTTTTGCATAAGCAGCCTTCTGCCAATGCATATTCATGCTCATCCCCAATTTGCACAGAGATGCTGATCTCAGGGCTTCCCAAGTGTCTCGATAAAACATCTTTTGATGGCAACACACATTTGCTTCCAGGACCTCCAGTTGCTAACAATAACCAATTGCTTATTAACTTATAGCAGTATTTGGGACATTATATTTTGGTCATCCAGTAATGGATGACATTGATAGTATGCAAATGATCAATAATTCAAGAATATACCTGTTTCCCACTTCCTATTGCATCTGAGACTTAGGAACTACAGTACATATTAGTTGGACCAGCCTGCAGAGTGGGGGCTGGCAGAAGCTGACATTTCTTTCTCCCTCCTCCTCCTCCATCATTCCTAAAGGAAGACCCTGGTGAATGGGGTGGGCTGCAGCATGGAGGAGATCTCTGAAAATCAAGTTGAGGCACCTCCCACAGGTGGACGCTTTGCTTGTGAAATGGCTTTCAAGGAGTCCCTGTTTTTCCTTATAGCCCACCCCATTCAGCAAGTTCCACTGACACTCGAGAGGCTTTTAGGAGGATGGGTGGAGTTCCTGGGTTGAGGAGTGGACGGGAAAGCCAGTTTCTACTACCATCACCCTTTATCTGACTTCCCCCTGGATCTAACCCCATGCCTACATTCATCTGGAATGAAAATAGATCACATGCCTTGGAAAGTGTGCACATAGTTGAGTGCATAGTAAATTAATCGAATGTATTCCAGTTGTCTAGTTATCTAGGATTTAAGCATCCTAATCCAAAATATGTTCACCTTGATACAAGTCTTTACTTGCAGGTAAAATTACAGGGAGGTTAAAGAAACGTCTCCAGGCCATATTAAACATTGACGGGTTCCTCTTTTAGTAACAAGATTCACTGTAATAAGCCAAGGAGTGGTGGTTGACACCTGTCTGTCATTGAAATGAAATGGCTATGTGGAGTTCAAACTGTTCACCTGAGTGAATTTGGGAAAACTCCAGTTTTAAGATTGTCAGCTCAAGACATGCTCAATTACTTGCAGAAGAAACAGGTCACTGTTCCACAAATAACTAGTCAGTGTGTGCATGAATTTTCATTGAATGCTTTCCATAAATATAGCCAGTCATTCCTGCCTTAATGATGGAGGGCTATTATGTTGAAGGGGGTTAGAGAGCACAAAATAATATTGTATTTTTAAAAAAACCAACCAACACAACATGCTACACTAATTTCAGAAGCCTCTCATGACCCTGGAACAAAACAAGCAGAAAAGCAGAAATTAGATTACTGTAATTCAGCCAAATCCTGCAATTATTATATAGTTTAGGGGTGAATAAAGGAAGTTACCTTAAAGTAAGTCCTTAACCGAAGGCTATAAACATGATGAAGCCTCTCAATTTTCTGAGGTTTAGTTTCTTCACTCAGTTTCCACCAATAAGAACATATAACAACACAGATTTGACCTGCAAGAGTTCTGTGTTCTATCTGTTTCTCATCTTTGCACAGTTAGTGCTTTCCCACTGTTGTCTATGCAGCAATATGGTCACTTGCCTTCCATAGTTGATGGGAGCTACAATGTTTCTGCACTTTCAATATTACGAAACTGTACTTTATTATGTGGAATACTGAGCTGATGTTCAATCACTGGTGTTTTCTCAAACGACACTCAGATGTAGTTCTTGCTTTAATCAGTGATTGGCCAGGATGCTCATTAGCATGACACATATTTCTTCCCTCATATGAAAAATAATTGGATGTTCATATAAATACAGGGGCTCAAAGCAACTTAAGCCACACTTATCTCATCCTATTTCTCCTTCCACTTAGCAGCAGTCGAGATGGCTGCAAAGCAAAAACCCCCCACAAAACCCAAAACCTTCAATTGGGGCTTTTAGCTAGTCCAGGAGGGCTTTCTCCACAGGGGAAAAAACAGTACCAAGTTGGATTTCATTCTCTGATTAGGTAAGGCTGCAACTTACGCACATTTAACTTGTGTGCATTCAGCTTTACGCGAAAGGTAAAAAGAAGTTTTTAAAAAACGTAAAAGGGGAAGAGCGGGTCGAGTTCCATGGCAAAAATACTTTGGCAATCCCACCCATCATTGAACTTAATGGGTTTTGACTATGTATAACACAACCCTCATGTAATCTGTGGGCCTACTGTATTTCCGATAGAGCTAAATCTTTACACAACACAGGACGAAACCATGGCACACTTAAGCAGTGCCACTAATCATTTTTTTAAAAAATTACACCACAGATTTAATATTGCATCAGATGGAAAAGGCTATTGCTTGGCCTAGATTTTATCCCTAAAATGTTGTCTCTGGCACAAGACCCTTTTAAAACAGTTTATCCTTAATAATATGACTCTCATTCTAGGCAATTCAAACAATCTTTCATTGCATTCTTGGAGATGACTCAGTATGATGCTAATCCATCTCTCTCTCCCCCCCCTTGCATGTGACATCTGTAGTGGGGGAGACTGGCATAGCAATTTGCTCTTCGTCATAGGGAACCATCAATACAATTTAATCACAGTTTAAGTTGCTGTCAACCAGCATGTACAGTAAAAATACAGCCATAGCACCATAATTACAAATTTAGGACCACCTGCTGGTTACTAGTCTTGATCTGTTTATGGCTAATTAGGAATCACTGTAGTGCTTTCAAAAATTGCCTGAATATCCTTTACAAATATACACCTATAAAAAATTTATCAAAATGGCTGTCATTTCAAACAGCAAAATCTTGAGTTAGAAAAGTTATTAAACACTAAGAGCTAAATATTAAAAAAGCTTCACATTTACACTTTTCCATAGGCACTCTATAAAAACTATGATGTGGCCTTGTTTCACAGCTGTTAAATAATGGTTTTAAATGTTGCCCATTTGCTCATTTTTAGATAGTACAAAGCAAACACAAATCATTCATTAACCACAAGCATCATTTATACTTAAAAAAAATTCTTTAGCCTAAATAATATGGATCCTGCTTATTTTATCTTAAAACTGACACTGTTGCCATTTTCACATAAAAAACCACAAAAAAACATTATCCCATTAACTTCTTAGGACTCAGTTCCTTCTTCCCCAAAATTCGGTGTAGACTAGCTGACATGTAGTAGGGTTTTGCTGTAGATCCATCATTCCTTTCCAAGTCTTCACCTGAATGCGAAGTGATCAAAAGGAGCCAAAGCAGCAAGCAGCCATGCAGTCAAACACAAATGAAAACGAGAGAGAAAAATGAGACAGAGATTCAGAGGGAGGAAAAGAAACTACATTAGAAAACTTGTTACAAGAGAACTGAATTTTAGTGTTGCTGGTGCTGTCGCAGGGTGCCACGAAAATGCTAATACCCACCTTTTAATATAAACAGAAGGTAGACCACAACCAATGTTGAGCAACATTGCGTTTAACACTTCTGCACATGCAACATATTAAAAGTGATTATTTTGTGCTTGGTAGTAAAACTGGATTTTCTACTGAAGGCCCTGTTTTCTTATGAATCTCATACTTGGCGGTCTTGACCACCTTGTAATAACAGTACTTTCTTCCCAAGAATATTGCATCCCATGTGAAAAATCTGTATCATTATTTCTGGCTCTTTCTTATTCTGCTTTTTATTTTTGCCACAAGAGGTCAGACTCTGCTGATATCTTTAGAGAGTTGCTCAGCAAAATAGAGGACACACATATATATTATAAGGGCAGCTTTCACCAAGCTTGTGCCTGCAGTGTTAGCGGAGGCTGATGGGAGTTGTAGTCCAATACACCTGAAGAGCACCAGGTTGGCAAAGGCTGCATTAAAGCCTCTTTCACAGGCCCCGTGGTCATCACTGCATTCCTGTACACATTATGACACCCATGTCATTCATTTCGGTAGGGCTTGCACAGAAAAGCTTCCTAGTGGCCTGTTCTCAGAAAGCACATTTGGAAAAGGATTGCACTAATCCAAGGGTCCGAATTTCATCCCACAATTGCAATTTTTTTTGGGGGGGCAGGGGTTGGAGTCCAATAATAAATTGATTTAACTTGGAAGAACACCATTTTGAGTTTAAGAAGTGCAGTTTTCAGATGCATTGCTGTTAAATTGTATTGTAAGAATGTTTATAAACTGCCAAGTCATAAAAAATATATTATAGTGCTATGCAGTTATAGAGATTTCACTCAACAACTGGGATGCCTATGCCTGTGTTCTTCGAGAAATTTAATTCACCATAAATTTTCACAAATTCAGCTGACAACTTCAGAATCTGATCCTTTATTTCACTATGTGGGATACATTGGGTGGAGAGTTATCCTCTCCAAGCTCGCTTGCCAAAGCCTTATTTTTAAATTTGAATAATGGCAACAAACTTGTTTTTGAGGATGAACAACATCCCATCCACCCAACCATTCATAACAAATTAGTTGTTGGAAGTCAACAACTCAAGTTGACTTTTCCCTGTGCATTCCAACATAATAAATCAGTTTTATGAATGCACACCAAGATTGTAGATCACCATCTCCTGCTCCAACCAATTTTTTGAAGCGATTTTCGAAAGACAGTGAATCACAGTTTAGACAAGTGCTAGAACTTTCACAAGAATACTCGCACACACTTGAAATGGCAGAAAAAGCCAAAGTGCATGCAAATGGCGGTGGCAATCAGCTTCCAATTATAGATTGCAGCCTCAAGATAGCCGGGTCCTTTGCTCAGAAGGTGGTCAGAAAGCGGAGCGGGGGAGAAAAGATCTCTATATTGGAGATCAATATCACAGAGGAACAGAAAATCAGGAGTGCATAGAAAATAAAACGATAACTGGATAGAAGGCAGGTTTTCGCTTATTCAAATAATATTGCGAATTCCAGGTGTTTATGGGCTGATTATAGTGGTAATGATAAGCCCTTTACATGTGTTCCAAGGTACATATCTATCTATCTATCTATCTATCTATCATCTATCTATCTATCTATCTATCATCTATCATCTATCATCTATCATCTATCATCTATCTATCTATCTATCATCTATCTATCTATCATGGCATTACAAGAGTCTTGATACTGAAAATATGTTATGTGGCTAATACCTAGCTCCGATTAACATGTGAATAAGGGCTGATATATGTTTGTCATGTCAATGTATATTAAACCTTCAGCCCCTGTAGGGGGAATACAGTTTTACATTATTTTAAATTAATACAACCTTCTTGTGCCTTCAAAAATTGCAAGGCTGTTATAAGCGGGGCGACACAGCATTCATCTAAGTGAAACACACTGGACATGATGAAACTACAGAGCACCCAGAAGCAACATGTTAGTACTTATTATGAAACAGTCTCTGAAGACTAGCTGGTCTAGTGAATAGTCACATTTTACCGACTGAACTAATGAAGCCACATCTGATATTGCTGTAATTCATAATCTCTTGTGTAGTGAAGATTGCAATGAAACAGCAACGGCTTCCTACTACATACTCTTTATCTTAGCATTATCAAAAAGAGGAAAGTAAACAACAAAGAGCCAACTACTTACAAAAGCAGAGGAAAAGTGTGTCAACACACATTGCATAGACACTGAAGAAACCATGTGCAACTAGGTAAGAGCCTATAATGACCGTCTGAAAAAAGGAGGAAGAAACATGTTAACTATACATTATCATATGGGAATTAAATAATATTGTGTGACCAGGCGGCGACAGCCCCAGCTCCCAGGGATCGTAAGGAAGGAATAAAGACTCTGACAATGTTATATGGAATTAAAATTAGGCCACTTTATTAAACTTCCGAATGTAGGAAGGCCTTGGCTTAGGCCTTGGGCTTGTATCCCTCCCAGCCCCCCAGGCAGGGGGAAACTGGGACTCATCAGGGTAAATGGGATATGGGGGTGCTCTGTGAGATGTAAGTGTAGCAGGCAGCCCAGCTCATATCCCCACACCCAGAGTAGTTCACTGACAACCTTTCAGTGTATGGTCAGTGACACCCATATATATGACCCCTTTAAGAGGGGGACGCAGGAATCGCCACCGCAGGGGGGTGAGTTGCCACTTCAGGCCCCTCCCCATTTAGGGAAGACAAGACTCAAGGATTCCACCCAAGGCCATAACCGCCAAAGTTGTGACGAATTGCTACGAGGAAGACAAAACCTGCCAATGCAGGAAAATTTCTTCCTGGTCCTTCAACAGCAACCAGTCAAAGACCGTAGCAGCGGCCGCTAAACAGGAAGAAAAAGTTAACCTGCAAACAAGAAACCTTAAACAGAGGGAGGGTAGGGAGGGTGAATCTCCAGAGCCGACTGCCTGGCTATTGTCGGCTCCAACCCCTATATATAAATGGGGCTGGCCCCACCTCCCAGCAAGAAACTTGATTACTGAGGCTGGGTGTGAACCTCCAAAAATTAGCACTGAGAGGCAAGCCAGCCCCTGTTTCCCAGTAAGCTCCCTGGGAACTGTAGCACCACGCACAATCCCGCAAAGGGCACCCACAATGTAAAGTGTGAGTGCTCATTATATTAATTTACATGCCCCTTAAGAAGTTAGGCTGCAGGATATGTCAGGTACCTCCTGATCCCTTAAGTCCTCGCCTTGATCAGTGAGGTCTTTGCACTGCTTGTATTCACAGGAGCCTGAGGGGCCCAATTTCATCGAACTCCCTTCCAGTTTAGGTCAGACATCTACTGAAGACTTAAATAAACAAAGAAATAAAACTCCAGCAGGCATTCTGATTTCTGATTTTATAATTTGGGGTTTTTAAAAAAACAAACCATTGTATTTCTGTATATTGCTTAGAGATGATTGCAATTGTCTGAATAAATAGGGGGAGGGAGCATTCCTTACTTGAAACCATGAGAAGACAAGAGCTATGTTCAGGCAATTTTCTGAACAGACAAAGGTTTAAACCATGGGTGAAGGCAATGCCTGCAATGTCCATGGCTTGCAAGCTGCTTTTCAGATCTTCCTGTGATTAATCCAAAAGCCTGAAGGGAGTTTTAATGTGCTTTTATAAATCTCCCTGCAAGCAGGAACCCAGACTTATCAGGGTTCCCAGTTTGGGGAAGAGTTTCTTCAATTAGCATTAAAAAACCAGCAAGAACTTACAGGAATACTGAGGGCAGGGTTTGCCTTGAGGTCCTACTGCCCTATTCCCACATGTTCAGGAGAATGCCTGACCATGGCTTTAATTGTGGATCTGCAGCGCTCTTGCAAACTCATTGGATTTCAAGTCCTTCCTGCCTAAGTAGACAATTAGATGCGATATAACATAAACCATCCCAAGCAATGGGACTCTGTATCTTACTAATGCAAGCTCCTTTGCAAGCCCCCCCATCCCAACCTTGAACCCTCTTGTTCTATGATATTGATCCCTGACCTCTCCTCTTCCCTGCCATGTATCTGGTGAGCATGGACTGTGCCACTTATATCTTCTGGGGAGCACTAATACAACTGTGTATTTGTTCTCGATTTATCTATTCTGCCCTCTGCTGCTTCTTATCAGTGTGAAGCCCTAAGATGAATAGAAAAAGCCCAACAACAGACAAAATGCAAAGGATGTCACTGTTAGAGGAAGGGGGAAGGGAAATGAGGGAGTTCAAGACCCATGGATCCTAACATTTGCCATGCCGTGGTGGGTGCTAGGTGCCAGGCCTGGTTTCTAAGAACTTTAGTAATGTTCTTACCAAGAGTGGGACCCAATAGTAATTCAGTGATGGTGCTTCTTGTGTGAATATTGGTATCCTGTGTGTGAAGAAGAAGAAAGCTAGGACACCTATAAGAGGGGGAAAGATAAGATTTTTCAAGCAGCTGACTCTGACTTGAATTATTTCCAGTATTTGTACTGGGACAAAACTGTATTCAGATTAATTATCTGTGATTCACACAACCAGAACATTTTAATCAATAATATCATGTTATGAATCAAACGGGCTTTTATAAGTAAAGAAGAAGACAGTGCAATGAAAAGTACAGTTTTAAAAAGAGAGAAAAGAAACACAAATTTGATTTTTTTTTAAAAAAAATAACTCAACTACTTTTAGTCTTGGAGAACCATTCAACTACGGTGTATTTCCATATATCTGATTCAACATTTTATATGACAAATTGAGATATTAATTCCCAATAACATCTGTGCTAAGTAGGAAGCGAAAGACATGTAAATTAATTAGCCCAAGGGATTTGTCCTTAAGCACAAGGAAAACATTAATCAATTTCACTATTTCATGGTTTGCATTTCCAGGCAAATCTCATTTACTTTTACAGCTTTAAAATAATGTGCAATAACAGCAAACAGCACATTATAGATGAAGTTGAGTACCAGCGAATTAGAAGTTCAAAATCAACAAGGATGTGAAAAATCAAACTTTCAGAACATCATCAATTCAAATTGCGAAATTAAGAGTATGTTTAAATTGAATATTTTGGTACAATAAACTTTATTAAATCTCTTCACATTAATTGCAAATACACAGATCCTAAGCAAATTTCTGTACATGTAAAGCAGCCTGGGACAGTACTGATCCGCTATTTGGTGGGGATTAAATCCACCCTACTATTCCCTGCTCTCTATGCATGATTAGCATTATTTTCCAGTTAGTGCACAGAGCAAGAATGGCTAAGCTGTAGCCCTCCAGGAATCGCATAGGAAGCAGACATTTTGAAACATACTTATCAACCCACTTAGGGATATATCTGCTAATGTCTGCCTCCACAATCAGATAGCCCTCAGCTGGATCAGAGTGGAAAGATTTAGAAGGGAGATGTTAAAATAAAACCTGATTTCTGTTTCTGATCTAAACAATTTAACCATATTTCTTGAACGGCTAGAACCTACATATTTTATGGCTTTCAGAACCCACGACAAGACTTGCACCATGTTTGACTTCAGGAATCTAATAGTTCATAGTTCATAGTCCTCAGGAATTAAACCATCGAGGTGTGGAGGTCAAATGGCTTGAGAGGCTGACTGTTCTCTGCATAACTAAACATGACAACTGTTGAGCTACACAGTTGAGTAGCTCCTTTTCCATGCCAGCTGATGTTTTCCTCAGTTCCATTTATTTACAGAACCACACCTTTTGCCTTTTGTTTTTTATATACGCTCTTTGTAGAGATAAATGATCTCCCACAATTTGAAGTGCAGCTAGTAAAAGTCTTCAGAGAAGCAGTGAAATGTTACTGCTTACCAAGTGTTGCATTTCTTGCACGTGTTGCAAAATTTAAGGAGAAAGAAGGAAGCCTATTTGGCCTAACCCTGGGAATATAGTGGATTCCCTCAGTACTAAAAACCTAGGTTAAGGCGGAACTACACACTGACTGCATTTGCATGTTATGATAAGCCAGCCTTTCTCTAGCCAACAATCACTAGCCAACTTTAAGCCATGAGTTGTTGTTGACTTGTTCATCCTGGATTCAATTGTAACAGGAAGGCTTCTTGGTAGGTTTACCCCACTCATGCCAGTGACATGGGCTCATTTAAAATGGCCCATAATAAATCAAAGTGTGTGGGGGTTTCTTTACATGCAAATTCAACTGTTACTCAGCAATCCTGTATTCCAAAAACCAGAGGACTTTTAGAAGGGAAGAATCAGCGAGCACAAAGAAGAGGGTGTCTCAGCATAGGTATATAGTCATACCCACATCCCCTCCAAACTGTTTTGCTCCAGTTGAGTTTAGAAGTTGAAGGCCAGCTGGAAAAAAGGGCTAAAAAGCCAGCCGTGGATTGGATTAAGCATTGTCACTAGTCCTCTGCTGGAAATGCCCCCAAACATAATGATATGTAATAAATACTGGTTTGGGGAACCATTGTTTTTCTTGTTGAATGCATTTCTTCCCTTATTCCCATCTAATTGTGGCCCAAATTCTTTTGCATGCTGTCAGTTTAGATTCATGCCAGTAAAATAATCTAAATAGCCCCTTGTTTATCCAATTAATGAATGTCCCTAGACACTGAGATAATGGGATTTCCCCACAAAGATTTACATGAACAAAGCTCAGGTTTTAAAAAGCCTACAACATTTGAATTAGTAGTGCCCAAATCAGAGAGGTCTCAGTACTCAGCTAGACTGGTAAAGAAAAAGCGATTTATATGCATTGTATGTGTGATATAATGTTGTGCCACCAGATGGCGACGTAGAGCCTCATTTTTCTCTACCTGTTTTCCCTGTTTAAATTTACAACGCTGTAAACTAAAACGCTTCTTTGATGTGTCTAGATCTAGCCTCAGTCAAAGCTCCTTATCAAGCTATTCCTTTAACTCAACCAAGCTGAAAATATTAAACTGAAAGAGTCTGTTGACTTACCCACTCCTCCAGCAACAAGAATTTTTCCCAGGAATAGTAAAAAGTCTGTCACTTTATCCAGCACTGCAACTCTATGCAACAGAGATAATGAACAGGATTGCAAAAGGTTTATCTCGAAAAGTTAAAACAGGGCTACTTTCAGCCAACATTAAAATCGTTGAGAAAACTAATTTGTGAAAACTAATTTGAAAAGTTTAATTCTAAAGCAACCATGTAATGTAATAGTTCACTGTGCTGAAGTGTCTAGTTTTAAAGATAAGAGTTCAAACATGCTAATTAATCTAAGGGCAGAAAAGATTTATATTCTGAGATACTGGGGGAAAGGTGGGTGCTCTTTCACTTTCTGATTAGTATCTTAAAAGCTGCTGAACTAATTATTTAACTAAGCAACAGAATGAAGTAACGGAATGTACTATACCAGTTTAGAAAGTAAGTGTTGGGGGAGGGGGATAACATTTTTAATGCCCCCCCTTATGTAAAAATCCCAACATTATTATTTTTTAAACAAAAAACTCATTGCAAGTTGAGATCTAGTACAGAAAGAATCATGCAAAACTAAAACCGTTCTTAACGTTAGCTTTCTTCATTTGTTGTTTTTGTTGTTGTTGTTTTTAATGAAGGGAAGCATTCAAAAGGGGTTTCTCCTCCCCCCTCCCCTTCTGCAGTGGTATGGTGCAATAAAAAGGTAAAGGTACCCCTGCCCGTACGGGCCAGTCTTGACAGACTCTAGGGTTGTGTGCCCATCTCACTCAAGAGGCCGGGGGCCAGCGCTGTCCGCAGACACTTCCGGGTCACGTGGCCAGCGTGACGAAGCTACTCTGGCGAGCCAGAGCCGCACACGGAAACGCCGTTTACCTTCCCGCTAGTAAGCGGTCCCTATTTATCTACTTGCACCCGGGGGTGCTTTCGAACTGCTAGGTTGGCAGGCGCTGGGACCGAGCAATGGGAGCGCACCCCGCCGCCGGGATTCGAACCATACGATCGGCAAGTCCTAGGCGCTGAGGTTTTACCCACAGCGCCACCCACGTCCCTGTATGGTGCAATACATAGGATCAATTTGCCAACAATTTGATTATAATTAATTTTTATAATGAAATGTTTTTAGAATGTTGCACTATTTTATTGTTGTTAGCTGCCCTGAGCCCGGCTTTGGTCGGGGGGGGCGGGATATAAATAAAATTTATTATTATTATTAGATCATTCTGTTGCTTCTGCAGCCTAGGCCTTCAACGTTGGCAATGGTTTGAATATTTAATAGATTAGTAGAGTATGTTTTTGAAGTGCCATGGAGTGGCAGGTGTCACACAGGCTGGATCTACACTGATGTTCTAAACCATTCAAATTAAAACATTCTATAAAGCTTAACAGGAATTTCCCACTGTGGGAGGCTCACTGCTCTGCAGCACCCTCTAGTGTCTCATTTTAATAACACATTTATAATGTTTTAAATGACAAGCCCACAGGTTATGGAATGCACGGTCCCTTACCTCACCACGTTTCTCATGAGCAGGAAGAAAGCTTCCCTGGCTGATGTGCAGAAGTTTTTACCATATATCGCAATCTGCAAAATATTAAGAGCTGTTAACTTGTTTGTGGGAGAGCCCCATTATGAAAAGGGTTTGCGCTGGGGGGCCAGACCTATGAGAATGGCAAGATACAAGGAAAGAAAGATGTCCAGCACCATATTATTTCCTGTCTGTGGACAAAAATATCCACTTGCGCCTCACCCTGCTCTGTTTGCTTTTCAAGTTTTATTTCTACTAGAGTCCCAAAAGTCCCCTGCTAAGAGAAACTAAAATATTTTCTCTAAAGCTAAGCCACAAATGGACAATTTGCATTATTGTAAAGAAGCCAAAAATACAGGCAGATGATTGGCAGTACAGAATATGGCAATGGACCTGGCCACACAAATCTGCTTAAGACAAAAATATTAAGAATGACTTTAAACACAAGTCTGGAAAAAAGTGAGTCTTCCAATTGTCTGGAAGAAATAAACCACCAATGGAACTTTACAATGAGATCCAAAACAGCTTGGCACCCACACCTGTCATTCAGAACCTTAATCACAAATCCAAACAAACTACAGCAATGCACTCTACATAGGGCTGAATTGCCTGCCTTAGTTGTACATGCAAATCAGCATTCATTGTTTGTTTCCTCCAAAGAGACTATGATCGGTAAGGCTATAGATCTTGGTTTGTTTGGGGTGAAACAAACCATGAGCACTGGTTTAGACCTAATGTTAAACCCTTGATTAAAGGAAGAGCTCAGTTTAAGGAGTTGTGTTATGTGCAAATATGACCATTGTTTTCATTATTTCTTTCTACGGTGTTGTTTACTTTGTTTTAAATAAGATGATATTACTAAATATTATAGTTTAAAATAAGGCTCACTGGAGGGTTGTGTTTGCCACACCACTAACTGGTCTTCAGACATGGCACAGCAGCATACTGGCAAAGAAGAGAGAGAAAATACATACCATGATGTAGGCATTTCTGTTGATAAATTTGAGGAATTTTTCCAGGCACCAGAAACAGCATTTGAGGCAGCAAAGGAGGAACTTAGCAAAGACATTCTGTGAGCCTGCAGGAGGGGGGAAAGGAAACATTTCTTAAGAAAGAAGAAAACCTAAGAAGATGGAAAACATTGCCCATACTTGATTTGACTTGGTTTGCACCAGCACATCTGTGTTGGTTTGCTGGCTGATTGCTTTCTCACTGATTTGCAACAAGTATGTACAGTGTTTTGTGAAGGGTTTTGGTTAAAAAAAGAGGGGGGGTGCCAGTACTGGTATCTTGATAAAAGTGTTGTGTGCACACAATGGCTGTCATGGGCAGCAAAAAGGCCAGAGGATAAGGTACTTCTTACTGATGAGTACCACCTCCTAAAAAGCACTATGTGGAATCTACCATGCTGTAGTTTAGCAGTTTGCCACTACAAGCCAGCACAAAACTGAACCTTTGGATTTGCCACACAGCACATTTAAGCTGTTGTCAGGGGCGCCGACTTGTAAAAAATATTGGGGGGGCCCATACCGGGGTCCTGCCCCGGGAAGTTTTCTAAGTTCCCCGCTGGGCGGGGCCGCTGCAGAAGGGTGAGTGGCGAGGGCGGGACGGGGCCGCGCACTCCTTTCCTCGGCTGCCCTCGTCGCGCACCTTGGCTCCCGCGGCCGGCGAGGGGAGCCCGGGCCACGCGCGGCTGCTGCCGCCGCCGCCGCCTCTCCTGGGGGCGCCGCCTCCCCGGGCGGGAACGCTGCGGGTGCGCGAGGGAGGAGGGCGGCCCCCGGGGGCTGGGAGAGCCGGGCTGCCGTGGCCGAGAGGGCTGCTCTGCCGGGCGCCGCTGAATATAACTAATAATTTTGTTAAATTATTGGGGGGGCAGAGCCCCCCCAATAAAATTTTTGAGGGGGCTCGGGCCCCCTCAGGCCCCATGGAGTCGGCGCCTATGGCTGTTGTTGTTGACATATAGTCCAGAACTGGTAATGGTACTAGGGTTTCCCATTCCACACCATCCCTGCTTTTTTGTAAAAGCAAACCGTGGTTTACGGGGAATGCAGTGTGCTGGTGCACACTTCTGAAAAGATTCTCACTCTGCTCCTTTGTCACTTCTCCACCTGCTGCCTTACCAAAGTACAGCTTGTTGTGATGTCCTAAATAGAGTTTGCCATTTGTTTCTGCACAGTGAGTGGTGACCAAGGGTTGCTCTTGGGCTTACTGATTGTGGTTTTTCGGGGGAAAGAATGAAAAACCCTGGACCATGATGAGCCAGACTATGGAAGCCTCACACACAGCAGCAGGAGGAGAGCCAATAACTTTTCAACAATGTGCACAAGCACACTGAAAATTCATCTTAATGTGATATGAGAACCAGGCCATTATTTCATTTCTTGCTGTGCCAAAGGAGAAGCAGCATAAACTACAGACACCCTGAACACTCCATGAATGATTATTATAAAAAAGAAAACCTCATCAGTTACTGCACAGGTGCATTCATAATGCATGCACACAGTATTTCCCATCATTAAAAGAGAAACAGGGGCTTGTGGCCCACATTTCTGAACCATACTAGCCTATGAGCCCGAGAGATGATTACCAGCTTTTCATAGCAAATATATACCATACTCTCAATGGGAATAGAGAATGTGCAATGTCATGAAACTCACCTTTGAGTTTGTGATCCAGGTATTCCAGGATTACTCTAATGAGTTGGACTATTGCAAGAATTAAAGAGCCAAATGCTAGGGAACCAGTGTGATATCTAGTAGGAAAAATATATGGTACGAATCAGGAAGAGATCTGTTTTTGGACGCAGTGCTGTTATGATAAACAACACAGGTGAGGCAGCTGACACAACCCGCCCCCTCCAAACTATGAATATATCCATGTATTGCAAAATGCAGCTTCCTATACTGCAATTAAATAATTCTCTTATATTAATAAATCATGTATACACAAAGTATTCCTTTCTTTTGCTTTTGATTTCTAGATTGCTCCTATCTCCAGGGCTAAGGGGAGGGTACAATTCAAAGATTCTAAATATCTTATGTAAAGCAGCAAATGGAAAAGGCTTAATGACTGAGAGGAGGCTTTATGTGGTAAGCAGGGCTTATGATGGGGCTGAGTCACAGAGCTGCCCTTCCTACACTGACGTTGCTGCTGCTTACCTGGATGGAGGTAGGGCGTGCCCAGGTGGTTGCACTGTCATGGGCCCCCCATACCAATCTGGCAATTCTGCTAGTGTAACCACATGGCTTCAACCTGCCCCACAGCAAAGATGTGATGTTGGGAGAGCAGCTTAGTGGTCTGATTCCACCACATGCACTGCTCTTGGTATACCGACTAGACATGCAAGTATAGCGATGTATTAAATTCTGTAATTGTTTTGATTCTAAAAGCCACTTTTCACTGTAAGGTATAGGGCATGTTTCTAAAAGCAGAAACAGATACGAATGTGGACGATTGATTCTTTAACTTACCGTATTGCTCGTCCAAATGAAGAAAAGAGTGGGCATGCTGGAATATCAGCAGGTTTTCTAAAGGCCCAATAGTAAGAGGCAAAGGCACCAGCAAGAGTACACTGACCCAAAGCAATTGCAAAGTTCACCAGCCAGAGGAACACAAACACGTTGCTGATTTGAAAGACTAAGATGTATCTGTGGTACAGGCTTTCTCCACCATAGAAAGCAAAAGTACACTGGGCTCCTGGACACAGCTTAGTTACATTGGTTGTGTTGAATGTCTATGGACAAGGGGAGAGGGGAAAGGTCACAAATAAGGGGATATAAAAATGTGTCAGTACAATTCTAAATCATCAACACATTAATAAATCTGAACCGGTAGTTAGCTCATCTGGCAAATGATTTCATGAGAATAGTCCTAAAGACTGGCAACAATGGTCCATGTTACCCAGTATCTTGCCCATGGCAGCAGCTGGTCACAGGTAATACAGAAGGTTCCTACTGGAACTAAGGGCCAATAAAGTAACTACATTAGGGGCTGCCAACATTTTTGGTCCCATTTGGGATCTTGAGAAAGTGCTGTGGGCGCCAGTCACAAATGGCTGCCACTGGGGCGTGGCATAACACTGTGGGAGTGACACAAAACAAAATGGTTGCCTCAAGTAAAGGAGCAAAGAGAGAGAGAGAGAACCACAAAATGTTGTGGATGTACCCTCTCCCCCTCTGATAGGCGATAGGCACCCACACCAGCCGCCGCCACCACACTAACTCACTGAGGGGAAGCTTTTTGCACTACTATTGAGTTCAAATAGGAAAGAGACAGTCGTTGTCCAGTCCTGACAGTCAATGAAATGTGGGCATGTTCTATGGAGAGACCAAGCCCATGCAAACATGAACTGAGCAGGAGGAGCAAACAGTCTTCAATTTAGTCTGAGATTTTGAGGGGATAATTAACGAGACCTTCCACAGGCACTACAGAAGATACTGATGACTGGGAACTAATAATAAGTGGGACATATAGGTTTCATTTCATTTCATCTCTCTTTTAATTTGTATACCACCTTTCTGTATTATTATACAGCAACAAAATATACAACAAAGAACACACAGCTTATAAATGACCTGCTCCAATACATAAAGTCATAATAAAACATAGTTTTAAAATGGAACGACTTCCATCAAATAAAGTAATATTCAATCATCTTTTAAGAGCGCACAATAAACTTAACTCTCAAAACCTCAGCAAATAATTATATAGAAATTCACTCTTACCAATTACAATAAAGAATTACTAATCCATGATCAATAAAAATAACTGCAAGGCGCAATGCAGAAAATACAATACATTCAAAACCATGTAAAAGGATCAAATTGAGAAACAAAGATACACAAGTAATAATGATGGTGATGATGTTCATGTGTGCAGTTCTATTATTAGAAAGTATAGGGAGTGGAGAACCTGCATTGTTTTTCAAACTGACTTCATATGTACAGGACATTCAAGAAGAGCTAGAATTCACATAGCATTTTGCAAAAATAAAATAAAATAAAATGCTGCTTACCTCTGGGTAGCAGGTCAGATTTGCATACTTGCACAGGCTTTGATTAGCCATGACTTTGTACACAGGTTCTCCGGATGTAGCTAGAAAGCTTGATTTAATTGGGTTAAGTAGGAAACAGAATCACAGACTCTGAACAGAGAAACATAGCACAAGAGATACTTGGCATTCACAGGGAAAGCCCCAGAGAATACATTTAATTTCTGCCTTTCCATGTCTAGCATAAAATATGATACCCACTGTGCGAATGCACTTTCTACAACCCAATTTACTGTGCCTGCAAGCACTTCCAACAGGAGAGTAAAGCAGTTTGCTTAATAACAAGTACAGCAGTGGGGTAACCTTGGGGGTAAGCACAGAAAAGGAAATGGTATGATTTAATGACTTTGTATATGGACACCATAGGGAAAGCTATGGGCAGATGCAGAAAAAATAAAAATAAAAATACACCTCCAGGTGATCACTTTGACGAGAGAGAAAAAGCTATAAATATTACTCTTCCGGGATTCTTTCCCCCCAAATGCAAAGTGGTATCGGCAATACAAAACTGAGATTCCATTACCCTACAAGGTTCATCCAGAATGTGGCGCTGAGAAAGTACGCATCAATCTCGGAAGATGTTCAGGTGTCACTGTTATAAGAACACTTCAAGAACTTAAGGTGTTCACACCCGGCGAATGTTTTGGGGATCTCCCAGGATATGCAACCCCCTAAAAGCTTCCACATCAGTTTCCTGCCAAGCTTGGACTTCAACAGTGCAACCTTACAGCGGCGTAGCGTGGGTTGTCAGCACCCGGGGCAAGGCAAGTAATTTGCGCCCCCTAACCCGTGGATTTGCACCCCTAACCTGTGGATTTGCGCCCCCTAACCCATGGATTTGCCCTAACCCCAGATGTTGCGCCCGGTGCGGCTGGCCCCCCTGCACCCCCCACGCTACGCCACTGCAACCTGACTCAACTGAGACATAAAACTGACCAATGACTCTTCCGCCTCCCCACTCACCACCACACACAATGTAGCTTCTTTCAGAAGAGGTGGCCCTCTCCTGACTTTCTGTCTTAGTGCTAAAATGCTGAACTAGGAATGCAAGAAGCATCCAGGCACCTTTCTTACTCCAAGAAGGATACACAGCTGTCACTGCCCAGTAAGAAATGCAGATCGCGATAAGGATGAAGGTGATGATTGGGTAGAATAATGTAGACATGATGTAACCAATTGCTCTAAAAAAGAGAGGGGGGAAATATATTTGTAAGCCATAAATATCAAAGTTTATATGCCTTTTTAACCTTTGAAACGTTTCCCACTCTTGTTTGACTGAGTGATATATTCCTTAGTAAAATATTCTTTATTGTTCTTTCTGGTTTCCTACTTTCTCTTTTTATTATAAAATCTCATATTACTGCCTTCCACCATTTTCTGTTGCATTCTGTTCCCAGTTCTATCTCCTCCTCCATTTCATTCCTCTTTAACACTCTGTCATTGTTTTTTAGATTATCATTTTTATGTATTTTGCTCTGAGATGTATTGATTTTCCTGTACGTTGGCTTTTGCTTTCAGGTTTCGTAACATTGATTCTTTTCTTCTTCTTAATTCCCCTGAGCTGCCACCTTTTGTCCAGGCTGTGGTTGCTACTGTGCACCTTGTCCTCTCTGGAAGCCCTGCTCCCTGTGCTTAGCATATTGTTGTTTTTTCAAGCTGTCACAGCCAACCTGGTTCCCTTTTGCTCCCATACAATGCTGTAGTAAATCCTTCCTTCCTTCCTTCCTTCCTTCCTTTCCTTCCTTCCTTCCTTCCTTCCTTCCTTCTTTCTTTCCTTCCTTTCTTCTGGGAATGTTTGTAGGAGTGAAACATAGTGGGTAGAATTCAACACTGAACTCTTCTAACTGTTCCATCAGCTTGCCAGACAGAATAATCCCAAATTGAAGGGTCAGTGAGGATGGGGTAAGCTCTGTTTCGCAAGCGGAGGTGTCTGTGCGGAGGTGTCTGTGCAGGGCTTTCACTTAACAGGGCTCATTAGGTGCATCCTACCCACTGCATTTTGCTGTTGCAGCATTTTTCTGCAACCTTCACTGATGAGGGAATGGAAAGCTGATAATGCTTTTCTTTAATACTGCCCCATATGGAACAAGGCTCAAGGCACTGTGTGATAGTGAAAAAGTGTGCATGCACACGAAAGCTCATACCAATAACAACCTTAGTTGGTCTCTAAAGTGCTACTGGAAGGAATTTTTTACATTAAACAGTAGTTCCGCATGGGGAAATCATGACTGGTGCTAGAAACCCCTTGAATAGTTTTTGAGTCACTGGAGAAAAGTATCACCTTATGCTACTTAAGGTATAATAACCACAAATCAGTGGTTTTCAGGAATTAACGACAGATCTCTTGGTTGACAGTGAAGACACAGACCGTTTGTTCTAACAAACTGCTTGTTAACCGTTCTAGCAATAGATTGCAAACGCTTTATTGCTTAATATAAATTGCCTTTTCATTGAAAAAATGTTAAACTGAGCTGGGGGGGGGAATCATTTAGCTCTCAGTCATTAGCAACACATTTTTCAAGGCCTTGACTATAGGGTACGCTCTGCTGCATTCATAATTATTACATGCAGCATTTCTTTTCATGCATTATGCATAAATATCAGAAAGTATTGCCCTCAAGTGACCTTTGAATGCAGAGGCAAAACTATAAGGAATTATTACCTCCTACCAGGAAGTTTATAAAGTTTCAAGAGTGTTTCTGTTTGAGGCTTATTTGGATAAAAGCATCTTATTTTACCAAGTGGCTCTGAATTGTAATGATAAGGATAAAATTATATAGTACAGACTGGTGCTGCAACAAATAACTGCTGAACTCCATGTTTATAGCTTTAATGAAAAGGGACTGTTACATATTTAAATCACAGTCTCTTTATTCCACAAGAGCCTCCATATTTTGATGCTGCTGGCTTGAGAGAAAATCGGCTCCAAGAAAGGGCACAGGTACGTATTCACGTTCCAGCACTGGTATGATGAAGCCGTTAGCTGTATAAATGCTGTTTATGACAACAGACTCAAGAAATCTATACACTTGGTTACTCAAGCATAGGTTGCCACTGGGACAAAATCTGTTCTCACTTACAGCATCAACATCACGGGAAGAATGTTGAATGTTTGATAAAACGGTCTACCAAATTCACTATGAAAGTGGCATACTTTTAGATCTAAAGACTTGGTGTGTGAAAAGACCAATAAAGATAACAAACAAACGTTGCCTACATGAAAATAAGTGTTTTATATGCAAGAAAATACAGTGCCCATGTTACCACAGGGATCCTTCAGCAGTGTAGTGGCTACATTCATTCATTCATTTAATTTATATACTGCACTATACCCGCAGGTCTCAGGGCGGTTTACACCACTTTTAGACTGTGTTACTGTGCAATTTCTGTTCTAAACCTTGACAGATGTTCTACATGGACTTCTGGATTATATTCTGCCATCCTCACTGTTGAATATTTATATGTGGGATGAGACTGTTAAATAGCCTGGCATGTGGTGGCATTAATATTCACCCAACTGAATTTTTCACTCTCAGTGCTTCTAAAAACAACATTCTCAATAATGGGCTGGATGAAGGATATGCACCAGTTGTGGCCCACCTAATCTTCCGGGTGTTGTTTGCCAGTTCTTAAATGGGGCCATAGTACTTCTGGCACAGTATATTTACAATTTGGGTGCACTCCATGAGAGAAGTTTGCTCCTGGATGATAGATATGTGCTGTGCCTTCTGTCAGGAACATCTGAAATGCTGGTTACAAATTTTCATGAGGGTCTTTTTAAAAATTATTTTTTGAATTTATGCCTTCCACATGCCTCTAGGTCGATTGACAGTTTATGAACAGTACAAAAAAGATAATTATAAATAGACTAAAAAAAAAATCAATGCAGTATAAACACCTAAGGTAGAGACAGTTTCATCCAGCAGCAAAAACCTGTTGAAACGAAAATGTCTTGAATTGTTTCTGGAAAGTAAAAATAGAGGACATGTGTCATATCTTAACAGGGATGCTGTTCCACAGAACTTGTCCCTACCACATGTTAGCACTGCAGACTACATGGCTTATACATGGTGAGGTGCTTGAATTACAGGCATTTCACAATGTGGCTGCTAGGGTGCCAGTAGACACAGGGAGAACATCATGCCCATGACCTTGATGTTGCATTGATTTCCAATCACTTTGCAGGCTGCTGCATATTGACCTCTCCATGTGACTACTTGATTATTTGAGGATCTAGTACCAAGTGACACTTTCCCCTATTCTTCGAGAGAGAAATTGTATGAACTGAGCAACTGCATGATGAGGCATTCATGAGTCACTCTCAAGAATATCTGCATGGTGAGAGGGAGGGGCTTGTCTCACTCCTTCAAAGTGCTATTTCAGCACCAAAAAACAATGCAAATATGAGAGGTCCAATGATTATGTGTTTCCAGTATACATACCTGCTACCTTCTTTCAAAAGTGCAATGGCGATTCGGATTCGATTTCTCAGAAATATTAACATTAGTATAATGACAACTTCCACTATGCAAAGTAGTATCACTGAAAGCAAGAAAATTAAGTTTATTGACAGATATCAAACCAGGACATTACCCCTTTCAAGTGGCTGGTTTCAGGGCTGCACTTCACAAGTTGTCCCATGTCTGAATTTAGCCCGGATTTCTAAAGTGCTTGGAAAGCATAATGCCAGCCAGAATGTGTGCCCCTGTCCTGATTACATTTGTGTGTTGTGTTTAATTATACATATATAAGGTTCATACTTGATGAGCATTATAGTATATGAGTGTTTGTGAATGATTTGTCTTAAAACAAAGCAATAAAATGCTGTGCTTTGCTTGAAATGCTCAGTTCCATTTGAAGAAATATATATTTACGATTAGACAGTCATTATCCAGTGGTTGGCTTTTGCTGCTATTTTAGCATAGTATTTGGGAAATGGAATTGATGTTTTAAAAGATGTGTCTGATTGTGACCTCTATCATCCCAGTGTCACTCAAAAATAATTCCAAGATAATCAGGATCGTTATTTGAGCCTAAAAGCAGCCTGAGAACTGTGTGGAAATGGGAGTGTAGCTTGGAAATATGATTACATAACAAATAATTTTAAGGATGCTGTCACATAAAATTGTGTAGTAAATATCTGTTACTTGATGAACATTTTCAGGGACAGCTGCAACAAAACTGTGTGGCAATTGACATTTACTATAATGCAGAATTTTTAAATATTCCTTAAACTGTAACCAAGCATTTAAGAACATTTTAAAACATTTTTAACAAATTACTAATGATAGTGTGTAAACTGTCACACAGTTATTGCAGTGACAGCGATGTATTATTTTGTATTACATTCTCCCACTTCTCCCAACTTTCATACTGTTTTGTGCATATGTACCAGCACTCCCAGTAAACTGTGAGATTATTATACAAATTCCTCCCAGGTTGTTTACATACTCAGGCAGGTGTTCACATTAGCTGCCCCCCGCCCCCAATGTTACTCCTTGAAGAACAACCTTCAGTTTACTCTCCTTTTCCAAACCTGACACAGAAAGTATACTGCAGTTTGCAATGAACAATTTCACATGGCAATGGATGGATGCTGGGCTGACACACAGTGATTTGCATACCCTTCACCTTGGATAATCAAGCACTGAATGGTGCCCAATGCATTTGAGAAACAGATCCACGAGAGCAGAAAGTGCAAAGGCAGAAAATTGCATGGCGGGCCCAATAATCATGTGGAAAATATATTATGCAAATTAGCTCCTCGAGGCAACTTCCTCACTTGTTCCAGAAACAAACACTCTCCAAGGATGTATGCTCACGTTTTAATTGAGAGCTGTATGATTTCAGGAGTTTCATGGCATTGTAACATTCTTGATTTATTTATGAAAACAAAAAGCAAGCATCTATGTTTCTGTAACTCTATGGGATACATTAAAGAGAGAAGCATCCCAGGCTTGTGGTCCATGGGGTCACGAAGAGTCAGACACGACTAAATGACTAAACAACAAATATATATGTACACACACACACACACACACACACACACAGTATATACCATATATACTCTCTCTATATATATACTCTTTCTATGTATGTATGTATGTGTGTGTGTGTATATATATATATATATATGCATACACACACACACACACACACATATATACACTACACACACACACACACACACACACACACACACACACACAATTGCTGATGATTTTGGAGTTAAAACCTTCCACATGGAGGAAGTGCACAACAAAATCTCTCTACACTGGCTAAAAAATGTTCAAAATGTTGCCAAGTTTAAAACATGAAATCTAAATTTAGTTCTGTTTTTAATTTCTAAAAGAGTTGCCAAAGTCAAGCTTGTTCAAAGGCCACTCCCTCATCTCCCCAATACCAGATTTGTGTCTATTTCGTGGTGAAGAGAATATAATACACACATACCAAAGGGTTAAAATAATAATAATCCTGCAGTGCAGTCTCGGCAATAGAAACAGATTTCAGTCCCGGCTCTAATCTAGCCTGTGTTAATTCTCTTTTACAGATATTTCAAACATTATTACTTCCCTAGACAGGACGTTCTCTATGTTCAGTATATTGTGTGGTGCTGTTGCTTTGGTAAAAAGCTTCATAGATTGCTTTGCTTTGCTTTGTTGGTTATACTGCTGAAAATTAATATATTATAAAAAAAGCATCTGGTAAATTATTGGAGAACTGAACAAACAAACAAAAAAAAAGGTATTACCTTGCTCATCAATAATCTGTGTAATATGTTCATCACACCTGACAGTAAATCCTCAGAATATAGACAACTGAAGACTCCCCACATCCCTCTTTTTAATTATTTTGCTTATTCAGACTAGATTTTTCCAGTTCCCACCAGCTGCAGATAGCATAGCCAATGGTGAGGAATAATGGGCAATGCCCTGTGTTTGCTATTAATGGGAAGCTATTATTTGCTGCATGTGTCCATGCAAACATCTAACCACTGCACACCTGAATTTTTCTTGTGCATATATATATGTGCAGAAGTGCTTTCTTTGCAGGAAGCTCTTAACATTTGGCTTCCAGTCAGCAGCTTGAGCACTAGCAAGCTTCTTAAGGCAAGAGCTCTATGAAACAATACTGATGTCATGCGCTTTAGTGCCCATCACAACAACAGCAAAATCCTGTTTAATTAGATGAATGCAAAGTGGGTGTCAAAATACAGACTTCTCTTTAAATCCACTTACTAAATGCTAACCATGTTTGCCTCAGTTGCAGATACACCCTGAAGTCCGTCTGGAATCCAATGTCATAGATAGTAAGATCAGAACCAGGTATTCCATGAAGGCGATGATATTCCCAGTAGCAATGCCAAATACCTTTTGAAACAAAGAATACGCGCTGGAAGAGTGACACAGATCAATTCCCTAATCACTGCACAAATGGTAGGTCCCACCAAATCCCACCCCCGCAAGGGAATCCAAACCACAGGCAGAGAACTGCTTATTTGCAGAAAGGTGCTAGAAGTAGCTCCATAACAGGCAGGAACAAGAGCCAAAACATAAATCATAAAGGAAAGCAAAACAAAATAAAACTATATAGTATCACTAGCTAATTTCTTCAGGGGGCAATTTGTTTCCCACTCCCAAATATACTGAGCAGCCGGAACAAGAGCACCATCAAAAGTCATTCACTGGAGGTCTCCAGAGGAAATTTTTGGCAGGGTGTAGTTTCAAACCATTTCAAACAAATAATTTCCTACACTGTCTGGAAAAAGCATAGAATTAACAAATAGATATTCATGCGTGATGACTGTGCCTTTAACTCTTTCCCTGTTTACACCCAGCCAGGGAACTTGGGGCTCTCCAGATATCATTGGATTACAACTCCCATCATCCCTGAACGTTGGCCATGCTGGATGGGGTTGATGGCAACATCTGGAGCTAACAGCATAGCATGGTTTGCCAGTGCCATGTGCGGGCAGGTGGGCATGTGCCAAGGGTGAATAAAACCCACTGCGCCAGCCTAGCACTTGCCACCAATGCTGCCAGAGCGATGCCAGCTCTGAACCACTTGGTGAACCTTGCAAAGTGGCTCAGGGCTGGCAGTATAGCATGAAAAGAACTCATGACTGTCACATCCCTCTCACTCTGCTCTGACAGACCTAAACTCCTTTGTGATACTAGGATCATCCCAGCCTTGCAAAGCGGCTCAGGGCTGGCAGGGCTGCATGAGCAGCCCGCCCCCCCCCCCAAAAAATGTGCCAGGGCCATTGCCCCAGCAGCTGTATCCCATGCTATGCCCCTGTCTGGAGCACCATTCCTGTACAGATCAGTAAGCCACAGCCAATTGCATCTTCACAACACACATAACAGCACACATAACAACACACATATACGGAGTGGAATAGATAGCTATCCTTATATTAAAAACCCTCATTATGCCTGAAGCGGCCAGAGGTCTCTTTGAAGACCCAGTACCGACAAATAAACCTTGTTTTGTATTTCAGGTTTTAGTAGGACAGAGTGGAGAAAGGATGATGAACCTTCCAACTTATAAAACCACAGGAAGAAAAGAGAAAATGTTTGTTTAATCCTGCAGCCACTGACAATTCCTAACAAAAGCCAGATGGTGATGTTAGTCTTCTAGACACAGAAAAGAGCCGCAGCTGCACAGTGGGTAGATTATGGCAAGCTTTTGCATGGTTCTTCTTTTTGGCACATTAAACTGCCAGAAAATATACTGCTGTCCTGCTGAGGGAAGAAAAACACAAACATGCCTCACAAGCAGGCACACACCTCAGCTGAACGAGGTCCAGCCCACAGTCTGTGGACTTTGAAAAGACTTGTTTGGGCTGCTGGGTGAAGAAGAGGAATGGACAGAGGGAGGGGTTTTTTATAAGTGCAGTGCTCAACTGGGAATTGCTAAGTAGCAAGTAGACTATTGAGGACAGAGGGTGATAAGTACAGTGGTACCTCTAGTTGCAGACTTAATTCATTTCGGAGTGCCGTTCATACCCCAAAAAGCCCACAATTAGAGCGCCTCTTCCGCGCATGTGCACAGCGCAATCAAGTGCTTCTGCGTTCGTAAGCTCAAAGTCTGCAACAAGAGTGGAACGCAACTAGAGGTACTACTGTATAGGCAGACGATTCCCAGTTAACGGTTGTTGAATTCATTGGTAGGAGCCACTTTTCCTCTAACCCCAACCTATAAACTTTGGATATGCAGTTCTGTGTCAAAAGCAAATCATTGGCACCTACCATAACCTATAATCCCAATCACACCAAAGATGAAAATCCAGAAGAGAACACCTGCTATGAATCTCAAAAGCACAAGGAAGAGCAAGCTGACAACCATTGCAATGAACAGGCCTCTGGAAAAGAAAGACATAGCAATTTAAATAAATCAGCAGCTAGGTATCTGTCCTGTCTTCAATGCTCCTCCCCACTGCATTTACTTTACAAACAATAACGCTTTCTGAAATGAGTGCTTTCCCTATCCAGGTTTGATGTTCAGTGTTTTAAATACATAGAAGCATAGGCGTCATCTCCCCGGGGGCTCTGGGTGCCCGAGCACCCACCAAATTTTCCATATAGGGGCCGGGCACCCACAAAATGCAGGGGTGGGCGTGCAGGCACCACACCCCATGGAAAGAGCGTGGTGTTCAGGCAGGGGCTGATGGTGGAAAAGAGAGCAGAGTTGATGGGGAAGAGAGAGCACGGATATCAGTTGGGAGGGGTCCAGTCACTGCCATATTGCTGCACCTCATGCCACACCCCATGGTATGATGTCATGATGCCACAGTGTGTGTCATGATGTCATGATAATCATCATCATCATCATATATTATTTATACCCCGCCCACCTACATATAAGTACATTAAAACATCAGTCATTAAAAACTTCCCTAAACAGGGCTGCCTTCAGGTGTCTTCTAAACATCAGGTAGTTGTTTATCTCCTTGACATCTGATGGGAGGGCGTTCCACAGGGCAGGAGCCACTACCAAGAAGGCCTTCTGCCTGGTTCCCTGTAACTTCACTTCTTGCAGTGTGGGAACTGCCAGAAGGCCCTCAGTGCTGAACCTCAGTGTCTGGGTTGAACGATGGGGGTGGAGAAGCTTCAGGTATACTGGGCATGGTGTGGGTGGGGCATGATGGACACCCACAGTGTGGGGCCCAAGTTGATGCCATTATGTGGCAGGATGGCAATAGGACTACAGCTAGAGTTTTCTGATGTGTAGATAGTATTGTCAAACTGTAGGTTAGAACCCAGGTTCTGGGCCACCAGATTTTGACAGAGAAATTGAATTCAGCCCTTTAAAGTGTGGTCGCGGGAAGCCTTGTTTATGAGTGGTAGGTATACACCCCTCCTGAATATGATACCATGGGGCCCCACCCGTTTCCTCGTGGTTTAGGCACCATTGTAGAAGGACCACAAGGGACTGATATTCCTGCACAAGTGACAGGAAAGAGCCATAACGAAACCCCAAGATGCACTGATGTGGTAAATGGAAGTGCCAGAGGTGACTCCCCCACCCCCGCTTTTTGTGTGCCTTGCAGCACCCCAATTTCACATGCAAGAAGCAAGGCCTCCTCTGAATAAAAACTTACATTAAAATCCAATACCAAGAACTGGCATAGTCTTCAAAAATTTTCATCCCGACTGATCTTGCATCAAGAACATTATTGATGCCGCTTTAGAAAGAAAGGGGGGCAACATTTTAGTTTATGTAGCAGATATTCCTTATTTAAACAAAGCAACCCACTGTAATGAGAAAATGCAGGCTATATCAAAAAACATCTTTTATGCTGGAAAAATGAAACATAAAGTGCCGTAGCCAGCAATATGCTACAGTTATGATGCCACATTTCTGAGTTTCTGCCCAAAACAAGCATTGGCTACAGGAGCAGTTGAATTCTAAGGACACTTCTGGAACTTAGGCTGTCCATGTATATACGCTTGGGCTAAAGTCCAAACCCCTGGCCAGCAACAGTAGGCCTTGAAGGAGAAGCCTAGCCACTATGCCCTCTCTCACAGCCTCACCACTTGCACTGGCCAGCGTGGGAAATGCCTTGTTGCTGTGCCAGCTCCCATGTTGGTACAGAAACTATGACTGGATTGGGCCCAGACTTGTGCATCTGCCTTCCATCTGGATGCTCACACTGGGGAGCTCCTAGCCACCATGTCTTCCACTGGTAGAAAAAGTTGGTGGAGCCAGGCCCTCTCCAGTATGGCAGATTTGGGTCTTCCTCTGCCCTTTAAATCTCAGTAAACTCAACTTTCTACTGAGTTTGTTGATCTTGTCATATGTACAATCACATTAAATATATGTAGTAACTTTTATTCACCATTATTACTAGTACTGTAGTTATAGTACTTTCACAATACAGTCATACCTTGGTTGACAAACGCCTTGCAAGTCGAACATTTTGGCTCCCGAACGCAACAAACCCAGAAACGAGTGTTCCGGTTTGTGAAAGTTCTTTGGAACCCAAACATCCGGCACAGCTTCTGTGGCTTCTGATTGGCTGTAGGAGCTTCCTGCAGCCAATCAGAAGCTGCATCTTAGTTTCCAAACATTTTGGAAGTTGAACGGACTTCCGGAATGGATTCTGTTCGACTTCCGAGGTACGATGGTAATACCGAATTTAGAATCAAGATTTATACAGAAATCCACCATTTTTTATGTGACTACAAAAAAAAGCAAAGAATACAGCACAATTAAGGAATGCATTTTAAAGTTCCGCCATACTATGAACCTCCTTCCTTGGGGGTTTTTAAACAGAGGGTGGATGGCCACCTGTCATGGATGCTTTAGCTCAGATTCTTGCATTGCAGGGGGTTCAGCTAGATGACCCTTGGGGTACCTTCAAACCCTACAATAATTCTATGATTCTGTGAGCCTTAAAAACAAGGTATGTGTAGGATGGTTCTGCTGTAAATCTAAATGCATACTGCTAAGGCTGCTTTAACCATCTGATATGCACCTGGTGAAATTTCTGTCAATTGATCAAAGTTTCAATATCATCTGAGATAAAAAGCAACATTAGTTGAATCTCTGTAGTGACATAAATTAATTTGGAAGGGTAATATTTTAAAGGCTGATGTCTATATACAGGAACAAATGGTTTATTTACTTTGAAGGAGTCTGGATAAGGAGTTCATTCCCCACTGCCATGTTGAATGGTGCTGTGTTTCATAATAAACACAGCAAGGCTGTTCGTGTGAATGCATGAAGATTTTGCTTTCACATCCAAGGTTGAAAATTTGGTATATCATAGCTGAAATAACCCAGGGAAGGAGGGGAATGGCTGGGGAAAAGTTTAAGCACCTGATCTCTTCACACTTCTTTGATACTAGTCTCTTTCTAAAGGTGCTTTCTTATATTATAAAAAATGGCCACTGTGGGTATGTGAAGCTGGAACGAGGCCCCAGGACAAAAGTCCAGGGCCCTGCAGCCCAGGAGACACCCAAATGACCACAGAGAGGGTGGAAGATGATAGGAGGCAGCAACAAACAGTCCTGATGGTCCGCATTTTGGCCACTGAACTGAAGCTACAGTAGTTGTGTCACCATTCTGTCTTATTTTTAAGAAAAACAGTATTACCCTTTTCTACAACAAAATGGAGCTTATTCCCAAAGTACATATGTTTTATTATCATGGCGGCAGCAGCAGAAGAAGAAGGGGAGGGGACCCCAATTTTATTCCCGCAGTTGCAATGGTTCAAAGTGAGTTTTATAGTGCAAAACCGCACATTGTTGGAGTTTTTCCTGTTTTAATTAGGCCTGGCAAAGTATTTTGCCTGCTTGCTGCTTTTGCATTTCAGGAATGTAGGGACAGTTGTAAAGCACAGAATAGCAGTGAGAGGGCAGGGAAGGTGAGAAATGTTAACTGTGTGCTTCATGAATGTGATCTGATACAATCCCACCACCACCAGACCAGGGTCTAAAATTTTCTAGCTGCACGAATGTAAGTTGCAGACATTTGTGTATAATCTCCAGTTTGCTCCTAAGATAACTGAAATGAAGAGTATGAAGATTCACCTCTTGTTTAAGCCAGATATGGCCCCATGTAATCAGTGCTCCAAATTATTATTATATATATTATTATTATTATTATTATTATTATTATTTCATGGTATTGCAGCCAAGCATAGAAATTATCATTTGGCAAACAGGTCAGGCAAAGTTATACAAACACACAGACGGACACACACAATCCATACTTTGCAGCTTCCCTGAGATCAGTGACGTTCCTTGTTTTTCCTCTTCCATCTTTGAAAGTAGTCTGATTGGCCACAGTCAGAACTCCATTTTTAGTGGCAAAATCAGGAAAACATCTCTTAAGAACTGTTAAAACAAAAACAAGAAAAAGAATATTTATAGTGAGTCCTGCTTTTATTTTTTATTTTATTTTTTTAAAAAAACCTCCTATTCCTATTTGCCATTCGGTTCCATCCATTTAAATACCCTAAACTGATTTCTGTTTGCACAGCATTCTCTTAGAAATGGAACAAATATCATGGCTGCCATCTCATCCAGGTAGTAAGACATCTACAAGAAAAGGCATGTCTGAAGCAGCATGTTCTCTGCTCTGTATGTTACACTAGGGTGTCAAGGCCTGCCACCTGGTTTAGGCAAGTGGTCTGGTCTAGTTCCAGTGTAGCTGGAGGACAGCAGTGACATTTAAACTGGAGAAATCATGTGACGGGGGGATGCTGTGCATTAACTGAAGCAAGGGGATATTTCCAAGTGATTGTGCTTTAAAGGGCACATTGTGATTTTAGCTTAAGCTGGTTATCTCCCTAGTTTTAATTTGTCTTATGCTTTCCACTATGACCCTGATCTTATAAAGAAAATGAGCTAAGGGTGCTTCAAAAACAAGTGTAGGCGAATATTGCTAGTACTGGGGCATACCAAGATCATTGCGTACACTATCAGAGCAGAAAGCCAGGTCTGGGTCATTCATGAGGTGGGCTGACACAACTGCCTCAGGTGGCAGAACTCCAAGAGGTGGAGCTCCCTCAGACACCCAGCCAACCCCCTATGCTCCATGAGATCTCCAGAGATTTCAACAAAAACTGTCACTGCTTCGCAGGCACCACTGTGTGCCAAGGTAAAAGAGGCTTTGGCCGGGGGAGTGGGAGGCTCAGGTGGCGAAAGCACACCACAGATATTCAAATACTCACAAGGCCGGCTTGGAATGATCATGGAAGGACAATCTTCATCACGCATAACTTGGGCCACAGACTGGAAACCGAAAGAAAAACCCAAAGTTAGAAATAATCATGTGACAATTGAATCTATAGCGTTTGCCTTTTTTCTTTCTTTCTTTTTAATGCTCTTTTTAAAACCCTTGCAAATTATTTGATTGAGGCCACAGTAGAGCGTCTAAATGAAAAATAGGATGGAGCCGTGACTCTCTGGAATCCTGCTAACAATGAAAACAAAACAGTAGGCATCAGACAAAAACCGTTGAACAGAGAAAGCTTCAAGCAGGTGGCCTTGTGCTCATCGCAGGTAGGAATAAAATTACCTTTTAACACAATTAACATAATTAACTTAAGGCTGCAATCAGGACTCAGCAAGGGGTTTTCAGTATGAGAGGAATATTAAAGTAGGTTTGAATATTTGTTTCTAAAGCTTTCAAGTTGTTTCAAACTTATAATTTGATTACAAGGTAAGAATTAATTTCCAAGACAAACACCTATTCCCTCATCCTATAAATGAGTAAACTGGTCACTGTGGAAGAACCAATCCAAGCCTGGTTTAAAGGTATACCTTCAATAGTATGGTAAGTAAAAAGACAGCAGACCAAAATGGAACAAGCGTCACCTAGTTGCAGACTTCCCCGTTGTGTGAGAAATTTTGTATATCTATTTAAATTATAGTAATTGGCTAGTGCAATTTCCTCTCCTCCCCTGTTGCCCCGCAGAACCAAGTTCTTTTGGCAGGGGAGCTAGAGACAAAATCAAAGGACAAGGAAGTTCCGCCATGTACATGGAAGTCCTTTCCGCCATGGAGCTGCAGCATTGGATATGGCCCATTAGTTCTAGATTTACATATAAATGTATAATTTAATTTAAGATTTAAATATTGTTTAGTACATGCAATTTTTATGTGACTGTGCCCTCTTTTGTTTCCTTTCTTTAGTGATGGGCTTCCTCTTTTTTGGGGGGTGATGACCAACCTAATTTTTAAATTTTTAGCTACAAGACTACTAAGGTTGAAGATTTTTTTTGAAACTCTCATCAAAATAGCATTTTAATTATAAAATGTATCAATAGAAGGAAACCTCTTGCCCATTGCTGGTCACACTGGAGTCTTTGGGTATAATCTGCATTAGGAATAACATAGTTGTAACCAGCAATAGAGTTAAAAAACAACAAACCCTGTACAGCTATGGAGATATAAACCTGCTCAGGACTGCACCCACTTTGGACAGTTAAAAGGTAATATTCACATCGCAATATCTTATCTATACTCACCTTCCATGGCTTGCTAAAGCCAGGCTTGCAAAACTGTCTGTAGTATTCCCAATAACTTTTGTTATATCTGTAGGAAGATTGCATGTCTATGTAGGTTGCAAACCTGTCTGGGCACTTTGAGACACAAAGCTTTAAGAAAAGAAAAATGCACATTGATCTAAGCAACACGGGAAGATGAGAAAGTTAAATTATCAAAGCAGCTAGACACACAAAAAAAGCCATCTCTGAGAGTAATTCATTTCATCAGAATGCCTACTTAGCACAGCACTTAGAAACAGACATCACATTTTTTTTTATCCTTGCAGTATCTTGAAGATAAACACTTTTGAAACACAGAAGAGACAGTTTGACATTTTCATCAGCTGCAGCATTTTCTCCAAATCTTCCTGCCTGTTGGAAGTATTTGATTTTAAAATCTGTTTATTAATTCTTTTTCTTTTTAAATGAAGTACTTGGAAGAAGGCATTTTCTCGAGGCTTCCAAGTGCTTATAACTACTTTTGAAGGCAATTCAGTAGATGCCCACGCGGTATAGTTCTCACAGTACACAAACATTAATCAATGAAGTGTGCAACTGTTAAAATGGTTTTGCCCTAACAGGGTATTTGCAGAGCCAACCACTTTCACTTTCAATAGCTCAGACAAAAGCAAATCAAGATTTCATTATTGTACATGGGTTAAGGCTAGCCTGTGCTTTATTCCGGCCATAACTCTTTCTAAAGTCATATAATACATGACAATCAAGTTCACACAGAGCGCTTCAGTTTATTTTCTGATCCCAGTATCTGCTACACCAGCAGATAATTACCTAGGATAAGAGGATACAAAACACAGCTTTTCAATGAAACTTCAGAGATATGCTGCATTTTAATTTTGCACACATGGTCTCCTTTGAACATGGCCTCCTTTGAACAGGCTGAATCCCTTGCAATATAAATCCAAGATATTAGCACGTTTAATTTGCATGCTGTAATTGCACACACACACACAGTGGTTCCCAATTACTGCAGACCATGTTTTTCAAAAGCCAAGCCATGGACCCCTTACTTTTGAAAATTTTGATATTTCTATGGTAGTTTTTGTTATGTCAATGGTGCCATGGATTCCCTGGGTGGGTTAGGCAGACCTCCTGGAGTCAGTGGAGCACCAGTTGGGAACCACTGATGTATACTGTAAGTAAATGTTTAAATGCTGGCTTTTTCCTATTTCCCTTTCAAAATAAATCCCATATAAAGCTCATTTGTAAGTCCTATAACAGCACAATCCTGTTCATGTTTGTTGAGAAATAAGTCCCATTCAGATCCCAGGTAAGTGGATATACAGTTTCAGGCAATGCCCTGGACTGGAAAAGAAGCTTAGCTTGTGCCTTTTGGCACTGTCAAAGCCTGTTAAGTCACCTTAATTCTCAAAACACTGATTAAACCCCAGCACCCAGGAATCTAGAGTGTGTCAGGACACCCAGAAACCAGGGGAAGTCATAGCAGTACGTTTACAGATGTTCACATACACAATATTTTCAGGATCCGTATTTACCATCCCTCTCCCACCGCCACTGTACAGAAAGCCAACAGTACTTCCAAAAACTTTCACTTTAGAAGTAGCTCTGGTAAGTGACACTCCTTGTGCTCTGAATCAGACTGTCATTTACATACCTGTGTTGTAGGGCACTGTAGGTTTATTAGCACTAGAGGGCTGGCACATTTCAGAATGTTAAAGTAAAACAAAATTGTCTTGTTCCTGCAAATGAATAGGTATGAAATAATAACTCCATGTGTATTTACAGTAATAATTCATAGTATGTATGAATCCGTAATAGAATCACTTAAGAGACCACAACAAGAATTAAAGAAAACAGAGCAAAAGCATGCTCAAGGGAAGTGACAGAAGCACACCTGAACTCTAATTATGGGAAGGACAATACTTCCCTGTTGAATAGATCACAATGGCACTTAGTCACATATATTAACCTGATTCTAGATCTCATAGGTTAAGACTTTGTCACCTAGCCATATGCTACTTCTAGTGTATTCTGAATCTGCCTTGTACATATAGTAGGTGTTCAAATACATGCTACACTGCACAAACAAGCTGGTGGTTTTTATGTTAATCACAAGGTGGCACTAAAAAATCAATCAAGAATTTCTTTGCATAAGGGAACCTGTGGATTAGATAAAGTCCCAAGAATCTTCTGTCGAAAAGTACTAGAATGGACTGTATGTAAGGCACACACTAGAGCTGACATATTAGTGACTCTGAAAGGGAGAAGGGGAGAATTAACTCATTCATTTCTGTCAGTCTTGCCCAGGAACATGCAAAACATAAAACTGGCTCCCATTAGCTGCAGCACTGTTCTCCTGAAAGGTTGGAGATAATAGGCCTTTTTCACATTCATCCATGCTAACCAGCAAATGTGTGAAGAAGATTGATAGCATGTGAACACTTTGCTGACTATCTGCTTTTTCCAACTTCTGTCAATAACTCTGAACCAATTCGGCAAGTCGGAAAACACAAAGAGGCCACAGAAGACATACTGTATTTGGCGATTAGGTAATAAGGAAGCTTGCATATTCAAAGTTCAGACAAGGATTCTACATTACTACATCTTTGGGAACTCGCATTCATACAATTAGCTGGTAGATTATTTAGGGGCTGAAACGTTCGCTAGCTGTTGACAGTAATACAAGGAAAACATGAAATATCCAGTAAAAAAATTCAGCAATGTATGACTGTCTCCTTCAAAGGCAAGCTTTATTTCATGTTGGAGCTATAGTCTTCTGAATGCAAAACAAATTTAGGACTTATGTGGAGATTAGCAAATAGATGGATTAAGGTGCTGATGGGTCCCCCGGAATGGTGTTAGATCAAACAAAATGGAATTAATTCTGCATTGTTGTAATTCAATTCCCCCTACCCCTAGTCTATGAATGCCCAAGTATCAAATCTTTAAAAATATTTGCTTGGTGTAGTATTTGTTTAAAACATTGGAACATTTATTTGCATTTTATTGCTTTGTGCCAAGGGACTCTAAAGGGCATTATCGCAAAGATTAGCATCCATCCCCAAATTTAATTTCCCTCAAGATATGAATTAGGGCCAGCCTCTGGACCTCTAATGTATATCAGCTTTGGGTCAGTTTGTCAGGCTTATCCGAAACTATTAATTTTTTTGTTTGTTTCCCAGCTAGTTGTTCAAAACTGCACGTGGTTTGTTATAACCACTGTTTTAAATGCTGGTTTATTGAAATGAATTAACACATGCAAATCATCCCCAAAATCATGCTTGCTTTTAAAAAAAAAAAGTACCGTAATTTGGCTCTATGACACTTAATACATCCACCGAGGAAGCCACCCCCTTCACACCAAAAGTGGGATATGTGGGTTGACCGGATGTATCCCTCCACTTGGTTCTGCTGGCTAAGCTGGTCTTCCACCAATATTGCCACTGTCGGGTACAACTGAAAAACCCCATAACAGCATCAGGCTCTATCATCCTGGCTACCCACGATTTCCACTGTGACTGCCTTGGTCAGCCATCCTGAGAATGAAGATATCATAACTCCCACTCCCTTGCAGGATTCTTCTTACTGCAGTGGATGCAACAGAAGCAAATGCTTTTACTGTTTTGAACATAGTGCACGTAATGCCGATGGAGCAATCAAGCTCTGAACTTGGTCCAAAAGGGAATCATTGCCAATTGATACCACTAGGTTCATTTGCAGTGAATTCATGCTATTTCAACATTAACTGTGAGATTTTAGTCATGTTTTGGTAATGCTATGGGCAATTGTTTCCTTTATGGAATTCTGTAGTGGAAACAAATATTTTCCTGTGTGGTAAATTAGGGATGTAAGTTGGCACTGTTTTCCATTCTGCCCTGTATTGGTGGCATGGAGCACTGTTTCTGTTCCATTGCAGTTCATCTTCCACCAAAACCTATATTATTATTTTTTGCTGGCCGCTGTGGCGAAACTATGTAACTTCTGTAAATTACGTAATTAATTGCATAAATTATTTGATTTTGTTGTCACTACTTCATTCTATCCCACTGATTTCAGTGCAAAGGAAACACAGTGCAAATGGGGGAAGGGTGTTAAATTGTTGAAGGTCTGAAATACAGTAATGAATATTGATTGTATTTGCTGGATTGATTATTGTTTTGGACATGGGGCAAATAAGCTAAGAGCATTTCACACTAAGCACATTTAGAGCATTTCATAACAACAACAACAACAGACCAACAACTCCTTCTATGCGTCAATATGCATCTATGAGGTTATAAGTAGGAACATGCGACTGCAAGGGAAGAAAACTTGGTGCCTTCCAAATGTTGCTGACTATACCTCTCATAAGTTAAAGCCAATGGCCAGGGATTGTGGGAATTGTAGCACTGCAGAATATTGAGGGCATTCTACTGGCTGCCTCTGTGTTACACTGGTAGTCACAGTACTACTGTTATACTACCTTTAAACAGTAAAATCCTTCTCAATTATATATGTGTGTGTGTGTGTGTGTGTGTGTGGAGAGAGAGAGAGAGAGAGAGAGAGAGAGAGAGAGAGAGAGATTTTACTGTTTAAAGGCAGTATAACAATATTTTAAATAATTATAATTCACCCCAGCTGGGAAGTGGTACAGCTGGGAATTGGAAAGGAAAGGAAAAGAATGGCTCAACATGGCAGATCACCTAACCTAAAAGTGTCCTATCTATTGTTCAGGAAGGCTTCCTGGGTATTCAAAGACTGTACAGGATGCTTTGTCTATAAAATATATTATGCTTTACAGCAGATGATTGGATGGATAACCCACCAGACCCAGATTCTATGGTGTTGCTTTTAGATGCTTAAAACACTGTGATAACGTAGGGACATTAAAGTGGGTGATCTGCAGGGAGAAGTTGTGAGTGGCTCTTGGCCCAAAGTTCAGACCTGGACTTATAGGAATTTCCAGTATGAAAATAAAGTGCATTATTTTAAGCTGGTAGCAGCCAGTGGTAGAATTCTCCTTTGCTATTTTTCTGCTGCTGGCATGTTTTACCCACTGAGCAAGGGGTATCTAGTTTATAGAAATGAGATGCAGCCTGTGGTACTTAGGATTTATTTTTCTTCTTGGAATGACAGGAACAATTTCTCAGAGGACATTTCAATTAAATGTTCCAACTTATGCTGGCTAATCAGCTCCAATGCATTTTATAAAGTGTGGCATTCTAATCACTGGGATGCATGACGTAATTGTATTTTACTGAATTATGAACAGCCTTCGGACTGCACATGTACAATGGTTTTGCTTTGATCACTCAGCTTTTTCAATATAAATCTTAATTGGAGTCAACACAGAGAAACCACTGAAGGAAGGCAGGGTCCTCCCTCATCCTTCCATTAAGACTTCCAGGAGACAGAAGTCTAGTGCTCCCTTTCATGCATCATGAAAAGTGAAGGCAAAGGAATATCTTGGTACTTACTCATTAGGCGTGTCCTTTTGACCACAGAACTGCCCATAGCTGTCAGTTGGGTAAGCTACTTTTCTGGGGTCACCGTGTACCCAAGCTGCGAAAAAGAAAGCATCAGTGATATTTTATAGCTCCATTTCCTCCTTGTAGCAGGTCGGCTTGGAATTAAAGTTTGCTGGTCATTAAAATGCACTGCCAGTCATGTACCATTTTAACCTCTCTCAATAGCTACTGAATACTATTGATTTTCCTTAAACAGTAGATTTTCCCCCCCTTTAATGAAAAAAGTATGGATGAATAGATAGAAAGTAAAACATTTCTCTCTCCCCCTCCCCCTTTCCATCAGGTCATATCTGGCTGGCAGCCAGAAAATGAGGTAATGCACTTAGAAAATAGCGGTTATTAAAATGAGGACAGGGAACCATTACAAAGACTTTGTTGGCATAAAGCCATACAATGGCAGCAAACAAAGCTAAAACAAACCCAAGCGTGCCTGCACTCACACATCTTAGATTCTCTCTGTACGCTGAATTGCACGAGCCGCTTACAATGCACTCTCAACCCCGATTTATGCAAATCACTTTGAACTTGCTGTTCTATAATTGCCACATGCTTGCATTCCTCTTTATTTTCTGTAGTTTTAAATTTAGAAACACTCAAAACTAAATCTTCTCCAGCGCCACTGGCACACTCTGGCACTAGAGTGATAGGGCATGACACAACAGAGCCCTGTGTAAAGCTGTCCATGGCAGTCTGTACATTGGCACTTGTGGTCCAGAGGTGTTTATTATTACTTTTATATCCCACCTTTCCTTCAAGGAGCTCAAGGTGGGGTACAGACTTCTCCTCCTTCCCATTTCATCCTCACAACAACCCTGTGAGGTACGTTAGGTTGAGAGGCAGCGATTGGCCCAAGGTCACCCAGTGAGCTTCATGGCTGAATGGGGACTTGAACCCTGGTCTCCCAGGTTCACTCTCACTACGACACCACATCTTAAGCTAATAAATTTTTGATTAATCTTAATAGCCAAAAACTGCTTTCCACAATGGGATTCATTCATGGCTTCTTTTCCATTTCGTTGAACTGCCAGAATTAAAGTTTATTTCATTCATCTTACCTCCAGTAATCTATGGAAAAAATAAAGCTGCTTATATGCTACCACAATGCATTTGTAGATTTAAAGAGAAGGCAGTGGCTCGACATCTTTCATTAGCAGTGCAATCCTATACATGCTTACTCAGATGTAAGTCCCAGTGAGTCTAATGGGGCTTGCTCCCAGCTAAGTGGGTATAGGACTGCAACCTAAATTCGTTTAGGCAATTGGTTCATTTGAAAGCACACCACCACCACCACCACCCCGGTATATTACAGATCACTGTACTATATTGTAAGAAAATAGTCATGTTTACATGTAATTCTAAACCACAATTCAGTGCTGTGTGCATGAGCCTTGGGATCATCCACATGCCGAAGTGTGGCTGGAAGGTGGGATTCACAAGCTTTAAGTTTCCCCTTTAAAGAATCCTGGCTTAAAACAAAGACTGTTATGAAGGGGGTGGCGCATCCTGTTTTGCCGCCTGAGGAGAAATGAGAAGGTGCCCCCAATGCCTCACCAAAGGCTCACTTACAGGGTTGCCCTGCAAGATCTCATGAGTGCCCCATGAAATGCCTCTGGAACTCATAACCTACCACCAAAGCTTCTTCTTCTCACTTCTCTGGTGGGGCAGGAGGAGCTTGCAGTAGCTCTGGATAAGTGAGGAGAAGCAGAAGGCTTCCAACCAGATCTAGTGAGATCTTACCAGAACCTGCTTCTCCTCACTTCTCCAGAAACAGCAGGGGGTGCAGGTGGGGCACCCATGGTGGCACAGGAGAAGTGAGGAAAAGCAGTGGTGGCTTCTAGTGAGTTCTCATGAGAGCCATACAAGATCATGAGGGTCTCTTGTGAGATCTCACTAAAAGCCACTGCAGCTTCTTTTGCCAGCAGTGGGGAGGGGCATCTGTGGCATGGCCATCCCCTTGGATTCCGTCACCTGAGGCAGCTGCCGCAGTTTGCCTCATGGCTGGCCGTGCTGGCTTAAACCTCAGTCCCTGATTCATATGTAACAAGAAGCAGGAGAAGAAGGGAGTGTGCAAGTCTGATGTTTTGGTCAGGTTCATATTGTGAAACCATGGTGTCTGATGTCCAGCAGAATTATATATTTTAGCTTCTGGGCTAAAATATATCCATAGGCTTGTGCAAAATTAAGTTTGAGTTCCAAAAGGTCTGATGTGATTGTTTAAAGGCAGGAAACCCCACAGCGGTTAAACTCTATCAAGTGTAGACGTATATAAAAAGGTAAAGGCACCCCGACCGTTAAGTCCAGTCATGGACGACTCTGGGGTTGCGGTGCTCATCTCGCTTTACTGGCCGAGGGAGCCAGTGTACAGCTTCTGGGTCATGTGGCCAGCATGACTAAGCTGCTTCTGGCGAACCAGAGCAGCATACAGAAATGCCGTTTACCTTCCCACTGGAGCGGTACCTATTTATCTACTTGCACTTCATGCTTTCAAATGGACGCGGGTGGCGCTGTGAGTAAAACCTCAGCGCCTAGGACTTGCCGATCGCATGGTCGGCGGTTCGAATCCCTGCGGCGGGGTGCGCTCCCGTCGTTCGGTCCCAGCGCCTGCCAACCTAGCAGTTCGAAAGCACCTCCAGGCGCAAGTAGATAAATAGGGACCGCTTACTAGCGGGAAGGTAAACGGCGTTCCGTGTGCTGCGCTGGCTCGCCAGATGCAGCTTGTCACGCTGGCCACGTGACCCGGAAGTGTCTGCGGACAGCGCTGGCTCCTGGCCTATAGAGTGAGATGAGCGCACAACCCTAGAGTCTGGCAAGACTGGCCCGAACGGGCAGGGGTACCTTTACCTTTTTACTTCATGCTTTCAAACTGCTAGGTTGGCAGGAGCAGGGACCGAGCAACGGGAGCTCACCCCATCCTGGGGATTTGAACCGCCAACCTTCTGATTGGCAAGCCCAGGGCTCTGTGGTTTAACTCACAGTGCCACCCGCATCCCTAGAAGTATATAGAAGTGCAGTAATTCTTGGAATTTTGCACATCCAACTGTGATTTCAATTCAGGAATGAGGTCTCCAGGCACAAGAAAAACTTTCAGCTGTTGTAAGGTGCATAACAAAATTGCACATGTTAAAACATTGTGTCGTACTGCTTCTAAATTAATAGACTTTTTAGTATAACATTTGGATATTTAGGATACTTCTTTGTATTACTGGCTCCCCTAAAGAGTAGCACAAAGCCACTAGCACATTTGCTTAGCAAAGGTAATACTACACCTATGAGGTTTAAAATCCTAAGCAATACAATGTACCTTCAAAAGTACAAAACCAAGTCAAGGTCCATACTAAAAATCATGACCTAAAAATACTATGGGGTGGGGGTTTTTTTTGGGGGGGGAATGTTTGCTGTCTATCATCTACTACTCCATGGATATATATAAACTGGAGAATAGAAGAAAGCACATTCTTGAAACGGGGCATGATGTTTGTTTGTGCACAAAGGAGGTTTTCATTGTCCTTGAATATTTCCCCACATCCATTGCAGAAAAATGCCATGTCCAAGCAGATCAATTTTTGCAGTTGATATGAACTCCTTTAATCTCTTCTTTATACACTCTACAGTGCAGCTTCTGTAGCAACCTTCCCTCTTTTTGAGGTTAGTTTGTTTTCAAGAATGTTGACACTACAGAAGATACCCCCCTCCCTTAGGACCATTATTCTTTCCACCAGTACAGATACCAGCAGGGATAAATCTTGTCATGTGAGATTTAAAGCAGTCCAGCAATGTTGGTTGCAAAACTTAACAGCTGCATTTTTGCAGATAATTTAGAATTAGCCACTGCTGCCAACATTATCCAGTTTGTTTCCGGAATTAGTTTTCATATTCCAAGAACTTCAAATAATAGAGAAATAGTACTCTGACAAATGCTCACATACAACAATGTCCACATACAAACCAGAAGTCTCTCCCGTGTAGAACAGGAATATGCTATGTTAAATCTGATGAAGAACAGAGTGGTCAGTGGATAATCAGATTTTGACCTTAAGATCCAAATTCACATCCATGCTCAGCCACCAGATTACAGCCTATTCATAGAAAACATTTGTTCTATGCAAGTAGTTCTAAATGTTGTCAGACACACACTTAATCCGGACAAACATAGCATAACCTGGGAATTATAGATACAGTCAACAGCAATTCTCATAATAAAAGCTGTGTTTTTCCGGTTACTATTGCCATACTTATTGCCAGTTTAACCAGGTTACATTTGCTGATGTGAATACACATTGTGTGAAATGCCCTTCAGCCTCATTCAGTTGTCGCAACTGCCTCATTGGGACAAGAACTACTAGGAAGAGTCACTGTGATCACTAAGCCTGTGCTGTTTTGGTTTCTTGAATAAAGAGTTCACTTCACAGATACTAATGTTTTTATTGCTGACCTACTGCAGACACTGGCTCCTGAAACAAGTCTCCCTTGGGGTTGAAGAAGATACCTAGGTGGCAAAGGTTAAAAGAGGCTAACCTCACCCTGCTTCGCCATACAGGTCTTGGTTATACACTGAGAAACAACAGTGCCCATGAGAAGGTAGTGCCACCTAAACTATAATTTGAACCCCACAAGTCATTTCTGCAAAATGGAAACAATAATGATCTAACTACCCAAACACATTTTAAAAACTGCCTTGTTTCCACAACACAAGCAATGCACAGCAAGTGATGTGATTGTTTTATCAGCCCAACAGATGGTAAAAAAGCTAGAAGCAAGTTCTTGAATTACACAGAACTCTTCATTAGGCAAAATAAAACATCACCATTACCCCACGTAAATGGTACTCCAGATAACCTAAATTTTGATTAAGTAAATATTGCAGCTGCTTCTGGGACACTCAGATCAATGAAATTTAACTGTACTTTTGCAATGAAGTTTGAAAAGAACTCTGGACTTTGAGGCCAGTTCTGCCCCAAATGGCAATTTATATCATCAGTTTCCCTTCACCTTTGAGCAAACATACAAATGGCAGCAAGGAATGGGGAGTCCCCT